TTTTATTTAGTGTTTGTTCGCGTACTTTTCATTGTGCTTTTTTTCTGGTTTTAGAGAGATAATTACGAAAAATGTTTTGCGTGCCGCGTTCATTGCGCGATGGGCCGGGCATAATTATGACTTCTTCTCCTGTATGAGAGGGGCTAGGGGGTTGGGTTTCCCTACAGGACTGAAGGGGAGGCAATAAAGGGTTAGTGTGCGGCATACTCCGCTCTTTACAGTTCAACAGCATTTTTTTTCTGGCCTTTCCTTATTTTGTTTCGTTTCGCCGCTTGCTTTTTATGTGTGGCGCGTGTGTTTTGGGTTAAATTTGTAGCTCCATTTTCGACAAACAGTCCACGTAGATAAGACATTAAAAAGTGGCAGCTACCGCAGAAAAGGAACTTAACAAATGCGGCACAGATAAGTAGGGAGAAAGGGCGAGGGCTCAAGGATAATAATAATGCACAGGGACAATTGTCAACCTTTCGTAAGCCGGTTGTGCGACGGAAATCAAGGTTTATGGAAATTTTCTTTTTCAATTTGCCAAGCAAATAGCTGCCCCGGAATCGATTTGTGCTGAATGGACAAACACATGTTGCTACGGTTTTGCCTCCACCTTTCCCTTTGCCAGCTGCATTTTCATTCAAAAGTTATCCATCCTGCGAAACTATCCTTTGCAGGTTTTAGTTTCGGACCCCCAGTCTCTCGGCCTCTCAGCTCCTATGCCATCCAATCCCCTGCCGATGCGGATCGTCCATACCTTTGATGGCTTGCCAAACAGTTGGAATATGATTTTTGCAATTTTCGCATGAACTCAACCAAAAAATTAAACTTGACTACACTGCACAAATTGTAAAGTTTTTAATACGTTCGGGGGCGCATTTCTCCCTGAACGAGAAGAGGAGGCAGTTGCTCCTGTCATGGTTGTCAATCTGTGCGCCACTCAATGGAAAGCAAGGAAAAAATTTGTAGCTCCCACTCCTGGCACTCCGAATCGTTAATATTTGCATCACTCCATCGCTGTGTGCGTTGAAACTTTTTCAGCTTGCAAAATATTTGAAAATTATTTTAATTAAGGCATTTTAATTAACACATACACGAGCCCACGCACAAGTTGCCCACCCCCTATGTTATTGCGTTGGTATATTTGTTTTCCCTTCACTTTACTCTTTTTTTTTGTTTTTTTTTTGTTATTTTGCATAAATTGTTAGGGAGAGACGACTTGGCAACATCTCACCATGCCGCATGTTGACACAGAATTTAAATTTATTTTTCTTGTTGTTCGCGTGATTATTTTCACAGCCCATTTAAACAAATTGAGGTATATGCGTTTTTTGAGAATGTTTGCTTGAGTAATTATAAAAAATGATTCTATATAATCACATAACTTTATTGGTGGAGTGAAAGAATTTAAAATACATACTTTCTGATTTTACTTTATTTTCCATTAAAACATTGATATTATCGATATGATTTTTTGAAAATATCAAAAAAATCGATGGTAAAGTTTTTTAAGCTTTAGTAAGAGAAGCACAAAAAAAATTCATTTTAAGAGAGTGTAATAGCAAGTCTATAATATGTAGTATTACTTTTTTGTAAACAGAATAATAACTGATTAATACAAAAAAATCGCCATAGTTGTTATGAAAATAATTAAATGCAAATAAAAGGGTGGCTTCACTAAAAACGAGAGATTTTTTTTAGTAAAATCACCTGTTTCATCCAGAGCATTTGGTTTCGAGATAATTTTTTTAAGAATTTCCTTTTTTTGCTGTTATATAACGATTTGGCTCGGCTGCCATTAGTTCAACTCGGCTAGGCCGGCGAGACCGAGGCCTCTCGGGGCGACTGTAATTTATCGACGTGTTTCTATGTAACTGGTTTTCCTCTATATGTGTGTATATACTTTTGGGCCAAACACGAGCGCTTAGCCATAAATTGTTGCGTTGAGCGACGCACGGAAAAGCGAAAAAGAACGGTATAAAAAATATATAGAAGCCGAAAAAGCCAAACTCGAAAACAAAAAAGCATATGGAAGGAGGCCGTTGCGCTAAATTTCATTTCATGCAGCGCTGCGTTTCCAACGACATCGAGGCGACTCCGCTTTGGGGTCAAGTTGAAAGTGTAGGCCGAGATTTATGACCCTAGAGCAATTGAGGAGGTCCAAAACCACCCACTGCGATTGGGTTGACAAATTTGCAAAATTTGTGCGGTCGAGTCACGGGTTAATTGAGTTCAAATATGCAATTACATATGCATTTGTTTACGGCGATTATTGCGGCCTGTCAGACGGTGCAATAAATCAAATAATGAAACCCTGATGTTTTAATTAAAATTGCCAGCTTACAAAAAACATAAAGTGCCCTTGCTCATTAATTTAGCAATAGCTAACAAAAAGTGCGGTTGGTTTTTAATTAAGAACCACTAACAAAGAATTCAAATTATAATAAATGCCAAATGCTTCAATTATGTATATTTGACCTTCGCCCGAGGGATCACTGTTCTCAATTCTCAAAATATGTTTCAATCCGCAGCCACCTTTTCCATTTTCCACTTTCCAAAGAGCAAGCGACGTGCGAAGTCATTTGAATGCTAAAAACAAAAACCAATATTAACTTTAAAACTTCCGTCTCGTTCGCGCTGCTAATTGCGTTGACAATGCCCGGGAACAAAGAGGTCAGAGGGCAAAAAATAAAGCGAAAGAAGGCGTGGCTCGCCTTCTGCTAATGAACATCGATTTGGCCTCAGCTGCTCGAAAAACGAAAAACGCTTTACCCGTAATCGAAATCGGAATTTAAATTGACTCATTAAAACGGAGCAAAAAGCGGGTCGCACGACAATTAAACAAACGCCCCTCGCCGACGAGTCCGGGCAACAATCCGGCAAAAACCCCCCAGAACTTCGATTCCGTTCTTAGCCCTCCCCCGACATGGGGTCATTAGTTAATTTGCCAAAGCGGCTTCCCTGTGGTAATACCCTGCCGGTGGCTTTGGCTTTCGCCCAGCCCTGCAAGTGTTATAACGCTATAACGTCGGAAAGTTCGATAATGAACAAAGAAAGCATCCGGTGGGGAGCACGGGGATTACCAGTATTTCCGCCAGTCAATATGGAATTAATGCCGGTAAATTTACTTTTTCATACTTACTCTGGTATTCAAAACAGATTAGATAACGACCTTATAAACATTATAAACCTATTATTAAAGGTAGCGATTATACCAACTGGGGATTTAGTGGGAAGAATTGAGATCATATGTTCTTAAAAACCGTAAAAGGACAAATGATCCTATAAGAATAGGAACTGTTTTGATAGAAAGGCTAAAAAAATATAGTTAATTTTGTTCTTTAAACAACATTTTAACCAGAATACACTACTGAACTAAACTAATAATTTAGTTTACATATTTTTAACCTAACAAAATCGTATATTTAATCGGTTAGCTTGTAAAAACTAGAGTTGATTGAATAGTTTCAATATTAATCAATAATTATAATAAAAAGCTCTTACTGAGACGATCTCCTGACAGCAATTTACAGTCCAGATTAACCATATTATTTTGCAGCCAACTTTACAAGTCAATCAGCTAAGAGAATTCTTAACGGGTTCCAGCTTTTCGGATCACTGACGTCAGTCTGTCACTCTTGCCATTTATTATGATGCCTATCAAAATTTAGCCACTGTCAAGGACGAGCTTTGTCCCGTCTGGTAATTTATGTTTACCACCCCCTGAAGGACCCCCTCCTATTTTTTGTTGCCTTGGTGCGGTGCGTGCCGAGCCGCAATCTGCCGGGGCTATTAGATTTTATTGAGCCGCTGATTTACACAATGCGCTTCAATTCAATTCTCTGGTCGCCTTTGGTTGCGGGAAAATGAAGCTCCGAAGCTCTGAAACTCTGGGGCGCGGTGTTAATCGCTAATGGAGGGAAAACTGTAAACGGGAATTTAATTTTCACACATAGTTGGGGGCGGAAAAATCAATAAGCGTGGCTGGTCGAGAACAACAAAAGCATAAATCACGCGCATAATTTTCTACCAATATTTTCCTTGGCTATTTCTATTAAAGGCTTTCTTTCTTTCTTTTCTCTGCCACGGGGGGCAATCCATTTATTTACATTTTCTGACCTCGGGCAGGGTTTTTCTTTGCTTGTCTTTATTCCTTATTTTCCCCTGTTATTATTGTTGTGTCTGGGTAATTTCTGACACGTGTGAAGAGATATCTATTAGACGATGACATGAAAGCAAATACCAAAGTAATAGAAAGAATATTTGGATTGTTCAAAAGGCACTTGACTGGAAATTCCTTAGATACTTAAATAACTAACCAAAATTAATAAATTGCTTAATATTGGTATAGAGTATTCTCCTTCATTAATATATTATCTTACCTTAAGTTTCATACCCTATATGCATTCGATAATTAACCGTCTACAGCTTAATAATGATACTATTAAATGTCGTGCACCGAATAATTAAATGACTAGCCTAATTTCTTTGTCACTACTCAAAGTTGAGTTACAGGAATTCAATATATCCACTTATTCCGGCCTTCGAATTCAACTAGGATTCAACGTTCCATTCGGTTGACCATTCCAGTCGGCGAGTGGGTGTTTTTGGGCCCGATAAACCACCCACGTATAAATTTGATTTACTAATGAGCCAAGTCCAGTGGAGCGGGAAAAACAAGGGACCGAGGCAGGGAGCATATGAAATTTTAAGTAGTTTTTTCGCTTGGCACTTGCGGTTTGTCTTGCGGGTGTTGGGAATTGTGGTTGCCATGCGAACCGCAGGAACTGGCTGCACATCCCAGTTTCGGTGTCGATTTAAATTGGCCAAGTGGGGCCAAAAAAAGGATTTCGGACATGTGTCCAAAGTGTGTTCCGCAAAAAAGTGAAAATGAAAACCCACCGAAGTTGGTTTCAACTTCCAAATTAGATGTCGAAACCAAAATAAGTTTGCACCGCAAAAGGTTCTCCCAATAATTAATTAACTCTTTCGGGTTTGGTTTTTTCGTAGTTGATCTATATTTACTTTTCGCCCTTTGTTTACATTCCAAACACTTAATTTTGTTTTTTTCACAATATCCTTCCACTTAGCTAAACATATTTATTGATATTTATGCTTATTTCTGTTAGCCTAGCACAGTTTAAACTCTTTCATTTTCTATCGTCTAGCTTAGCTTAGGTCTAACGCTTTCCACTCTAAACATTTAACTTCAGTATTTATTTTTTAGCTCTAAGCAGGACCATTGGCCGATCAAGACGGCATTTCAAACATAAACTTTGATTAATTTACAATCATCAATATATTATGTACAACAACAAAGGGTCGCTTTGGGTCTGATTAGTATTCTCTTTATACAATTTACCTATTCTTAATGCCACGAATATATTTTATGTACAAGTACTCCTATGATATTTACCTTTCATTTCTGGAAATATTTTAGCTACAAAATATTTAGCTACTAAATCGTTTGAGTCTTTTTGAAGTTTCCTTAAATTAAAGTGTGTGGTTTAACTGTGTTGTAAAGTGTTCTTCATCCCTTATCGTTTTTTATTGATTTTCCGAAAAGAAGACTTTTTCTTGAAAATATCAGTTGTAAGTTTTCATATCTTTGCCTGGTTTTTAAATTCTTAAAAAATGCTGGGCATTGAGAATATGTTTCTTAAGCCTGTTTCGAATTTTACAATGAATTGAATAAATCTTCCAAAAGTTCCCATGATTATGAATTCATTTCCTTCTTTTTTAGTTGATATAACAAGGGATATGCTATTGAACCAGAAGATATGACGGGTTTTCTTTCAGTTACTGATCGGTTGCCTAATGTCTAGATTATATATGCACAGCACCTTAACGAGAAGATAACGGAACTGTAGCAATTTTTACTTTCATTAAAATGTGATTAAATGATTATTAGGATTTAAATTTAAATTAAATGAAATATATTAAGCGATAAATTTGTCATATAATGAGAGCTAATTATAAAACATTTTAAATAGAGTAGTGGCCATAAATCTATAATTAAATAAGGCTAAAAAAATGCATAAAAAATGAATGAATGTGAAAACTGCCACAATTCCGTCTGACATAGATTTATATTCCTACACAATAAATACATATATCCGCCATATCGAACTCCCCGATTTAGACACAGCTCTCGGGCACTCGCTGCGTCATCAGGCAGTCCTTAATCGCATTTATGTTGATGTTGTCGTCCAGATCCTGCGATGAGTTGCACGACGTGGTGGCCGTCGTGGTGGATCCCACCACGCCCATGACACTGCCGGCACTTCCCATCAGGAGACTGGAGCCGGAGTGGTGCGGTGGTGGCTGCTGGTGGTGCGTGGGATGATGGTGGAGGTGGTGCTGCTGCTGCTGGTGGTGGTGCCTGTTCAGGGTGGCCGTGTGACCCGTTGAACCACCACCCCCCGGTGGGTGGTGCAGCCGTCCGCTGGCATAGGCGTTCATGATGTAACCACCGCCGCTTCCCAGTCCCGGCGGCAGAGTGCCACCCACCCCACTGCTGTGCACCGGCTGCAGGTGGGCCGCCAACGTGGCCGTCGAGGAGAGCGAGGTGGGTGACCCAATGACTGTGCCACCCATTCCCAGCCCCATGCCCATGCCCACGCCCATTCCCCCGCCCATTCCCATGCCAAGCGGCTTGCCAAGGCCGCCCAGGATGCTGCTGCTGGGCGAGATTACGGTGCTGCTGCAGCCACCACCCACTGCCGCCACCGCCGCCAGGAGCTGCGCCCGCTGCGCGTTGATCTGATTGTAGGTGACAGTTGCATTCACCGCATCGCCGGACAGCATCGTCGTCGTCACCTGGAAGAAAAGCAGAGCAGATGGAGACATAGATACACTCAGCAAAACAAAATACATTGAGTTAAATGGAATAAATATAAATATTTCAAAAATATGATCCGATGAAACCTTATCCTATTTTAGACTCAAGGAAATATTATAAAAATTGTATTGAAAAAGTGTATAACCGCCAAAATTGTTGCATCGCCCTTCAAAAATAATTGAGTCTCAAATTCCATAAAAAAGAATTTTTTTTATTTTGTTATATTTTTTTCAATTATAAATGCATTCCTATAAAAGCAATTATTATTTTACATTTTATTTTATTTCTTTTTTATTTAAAATATTCAAAACATCTTAAAATATTTTTGCAAATTGTTAAATTAAGAGTAGGGAAATTAAAATCTATAGTTATTTAATTCTAAGCTAGTTATCAATTTGATGTTATTTTTTTTGAGTGCATTCCTTTTTTGCAACGGAAATCATTCGCCTGAAAGCAATCTGGAATCACCGCTCTAAAGTTTTCCACACGAACAAAATCAAATTCTTATGTTTGCAGTTTCCTGAACAATTTTAAATTACTAAAGAAATGTGACACAAATGCCTAAATTAATGTTGTTACCTTATAGAAAATCATAAAAATAATAGTGTAAAATATATCGTTTATTTGTAGTTAACGTATCAAAATGTAAAATTCATATTTTATCATTTTTAATTTTTTTTGTTATATATATGAGAAAATATTCAATTAAAGTGCGTCGATTGAAATTCAACACCATGGTTAAAGAACAATTTATTGTGCCGATACTCCTGCGATATTCGATACAATGATGTTTCGAACGGCCCCTCTCAGTCCTCGGCCTCCGCAATCCAATTAGCTCAAATGATTATTCCGAAATGCTCGAATTTCGACTGGAACATCTAAAATGCTGCCGACCAATACTTTTGTTATTTGCCCGTTTTTATTTAGCTGGGGCTGGCAAAGCGAAATGGAATTCTAATTGAAATCTCAATGCAATTTCCAGGTGGCGGGTGGGGAATGGCCTCCTGAATGTTCGGCTGTTATGGCTGGCAATATTTAAAATTATTTAATTAACGAATTGAGTTATGCTGCGATTGCCCACTGGCCGGTTTTCGACCATACCATCCACCCATCCAACCGCATTTTAAGCCTGCCTGGAATGGTAATTTAAATGTAATTGAAATCTGCGCAGCAAATCCCATTTACAGAATGAAACAGAACAGAAATTCCCTTTCAGCCCCGACAGCGTATCCGATTTGGGTTCGGAATCGGATACTTTGTTATCTGGGGGTTTCGAGTGCAGAGCGGGTTGGGAATAAAAACCGCAGCGTTGGCTGATTTCCCAGCTACTTCTGTTTCGGCCTTTTTTTTCTGCATTGCAAATTGGTTTTGGACACCCCCAATGTCCAATGTTTTGGCCAGATTAGTGATATATATACATATATTCGCGGCCTGGCAGTCAATTGGTCATGGCCGCTGCATATGGCCGCTTCCCGCTGCTCTAATCTCGTTCGCACAGCTTATGGTAATGGCTTTCGGGGATCTCGACCGTTGTCAGCGCATAAAGAATATATATAGAAACATACAGATATCTGAATATTCATATGTGCGGGGGGTGGGCCATAAATAAATTCTAATTGCGAACTTAATGAAATGAAAACAAATGTGTTTTCGCCCGACACTCTAATCTCGAATGAATGGTCGGCGCACAAAAAATCGCATGTGCAAAAGTGGGGATACAAAAAAATTTAAAATATAAAGTCAACGTGGTAATAAAATTTATTATATGGAAAGCAATCGACATGTTTGGGATTTAACTTTTGTGGCGAATAATTTACTAAATAATTCAGGTGAAATATATTTACTGAGTTAGATTAACTTTTAGCATTTCCAAGTGCACAGAAAAAAAAGAACGATATGGAATTGGATCAATTCTACCTTATTACATTTCAATAAAAAGCCGATCAAATAAAAGATCTTAAAGAAATATAAATTTTACCAGCACATATTAATTTGATATTTTGTCCATTTTTTTTCTTTAGGAAATGCATTTAAATAGATTATTTCTTTTACTCTCTAGTTGCATTTCCGTCTTTCAGCACACCTGTTGCCACTTTAAGAGGCACTCCATCCATCAGTTACGAAAAAAAGAAAATATTTCTAGGGATCCACGGATTTGGCCAAACGGACAGCCAAGTTTCGTGCTCAATACAAATGCAGGGGAAAAATTGATTGATTACGGCCCTCTCAACATGATATATTGTGTTTTAAAAATCTCGCAATTACCTCAGAGCCCAACAACAGCCTGGCTGCACGATGAATCCCCCGATTTAGCCAATGGATTTTTATTTATAACCTGAGTGGCAGTGCAAAGAGTGGGAATTTCGAAGGAGCCGTGACAGTTTAAAAGCTTTTTTTAATACACTCGGGGTGTCGGAGGGTTTTGGGGGCTTTCGGGGAACGACTGACTGAGATGGAGGACTGGAGTTCGGTTGCCTGGGATGCTGTTTAGCAATTTGACAATCTGAGTAGTTGATTGCTTTCAGTGCACCGACGACCAGATTGCCAGAAGACAGAGGACAGAGGACCACGAAGTCTGGGCAATAGTAGCCCAGTTAATACGAACCGCAACTGACAACTGACAGACGTTAAACGCTCCAACTGGGCTTGGATTGGATTCATGGACTAACGGGCCGGACTATCTGGCCATCTGGACTCCACCTTTCTCTACGGACTGTTTGCAACAAACCTTGCCAAATCAAATTGCATTACGGAGAATAAAGCAAAGCACAAACGGCAAACGGCAAACGACTTTGTCTAACTTTCATTTGCTCTTGCTTATCGCTCGCCCACAAGGATGAATTTCCCAAGGTGACACGTTTTAATTATTTCACAATCCATCAAAAGTGATGAGAGCCTGCTGGGTGGGACCTTTCATTCAATGGACACTTACGAATCGACTTAAAGTGCTAGTCGGTTTTTCGAAATTTAAGATAACTTGATGGAGAATCGGTACTATTGAAAACTTAGGAAATAAATATGATTAAAATTAATTTTTGGACATCGTAACCATTTAAGAAATAATAATACAATTTAATTTTATGAAAAACATATACAACTTATTTTTATATTTCTTCGTAAATTAAATCCATTAAAGCTAAATAATTTTTTGCAAACTTTGTTTAGAATTTGAGACATCATTTTTAACCTAATTGTTTTTATTTTAAACTATGCTTGTGAATTTAAACTTATAAAAGTGATGATAACTTTTAAAAGAATTTTTGTTTGCCCACTGTTTAAAAAAAAGAGAAAATTGCTGTCATTTAAAGCAATACAAATCATGTACTTTTTTTTTAAATTTTAAATTTGTTTAGGTACTGCCAAGGTAGGTATAATTCTGTCTAATGAATTTGCCTTCAGTTTGTCCCTGCACTATGTAAAAACCCGCAATCCGGATCGCTTGTTCATTTGAGTACTTACATTGCCATTCGGTGACCACTTGGAAACGCCGCCTCCCGATGTAGCCGATGCGAACTGATGGCCATCTGTGGCAGATGCCCCAGCTCCTCCCACCGATCCTCCTGCTGCGGCTGCTGATGCCGTGTTTGTGTTGGCCACCGATACCGAGGACACCACCGCCGTGGAGGTGCTGCTCCCTGTGGCGGTGCCGGCGGTGGTGCTGCCCACATTGGAGGCGTTGCTGCCACTGCTGCCGGCGCTGCTGCCGCCGACTGCTTGATTGAAATTTATTGATGAGCCATGAGAGGAGGAAGCCACGTTGTGTCCGTGTGTCCGTATGTCCGTATGTCCGCGTGTCCGTGAGTTAGAGATTGGCGGGTTCCGTCGTTAAAAATATTTACGATTAAAAGAAAATTGCATTGGTTGATTGGATTGGATTGGTTCAGTTTGGTTTTCGGTTTGGCATCCGTTTGGCATCGGTGGTCGTATTGTTGTTGTGTTGATGAGATTGATTACGATTGCGGGTCGGGTCGCCAAAGAACAATGGTTGTGGATTTGCAGATAGCGGAATGCGATTGCCATTGCGATTGCGGGACACATGGAAGTAAATGTCGGCGAAAGTGGCCATAAAATTTGATTAAAGTTTAATGCTCAAAGTGCACACTATAAAAAAAGCAGCTTTATTCCCGGTTACTCCGGCAGGACACTTGACTCGCGGGGTGACATTAAAAAGCGAAACCGAAATTGAGCTATACTGCGCAAGTGACTCCTGCTTGCCCTGCACTGAGAGAAATGGTGATACCTTTTAGTGGAACAAAAAAATGTTCAATGAAAAACTTTTTTCTATATCTACAAAAGTTGTTTTAGATTAATCCAAAAAATTTAAATTATATTTTAAATATTATTTAGAAAACATAAATATTACATTTCAAATGTTGACTTTTTATACTTTTATAACTTAAAAAAAAATAGAATAAAATATTTTATTTCTTCTTTGATCTAAATAATGTATTATATATAATCTTAAATAATTTTTCCTGTGTTCCCTAGAACCTTTTCCACACATTCTCCCCAAGTCAAGTGCCCCTGAAGTGTCAGTAACTGTTTATAATCTTACCATATTGCGATGGTATTACGTCCGGATCACGTTCGTCCTCAACCAAATCCTCTGATGATTTCGTTTTTATGTCCGTGTGCTGCCAGCGCGGCTTCTCCAAGTTTCCGCCCTACAAACAAGGAGAAAGTCCAACGAGGAAATAATACGTACATTAATTGCTCGAAAATCGTTTGGGGAATGTGGGCTACGGGTGGGTAGGTTGGTGGATTGGTAAAAGTCTCCAGACTTAACCTACCTTAAAGACATCACTCGGCTGGGCCGTAACTCCGGCGGCGGTGGCCTTGCTGCCGTGATGACGATTCCTCCGCAAATTGTGCACAAATGTCACCACGAATATTCGTATCGCGATGGCCACACCAATAATTATGATCGTCAGGACACTGCCGACAATCACCGGCGACAATGTCAGTGTTACATCGTCGTCTGTTTGTTGTTATTCGCGTAATTACAGGTTGACAATCGGCGTTCATAAATCATCATCGGGTTTTAGATAGATTGCCATCAAGCCACCACACATATATATCCGCACACACATCAAATTGATTGCCGATGGAAGTGGTAGTTAAGGTTCCATAGGTGGGCAGAACGTTAAATTTGTCGACATTTGACGGTTTTATTTTTAGCCAAAAGGAAATTCACATGAAAATGAGAAGGCAAGAGCAGAGAGTGGAGGAGAGCATGTATTTTATGAGTTATATGTACGTTATTTGTGCTTTGGTTGCATAAGAAGGGGCGATTTATGATTAATTGGTTGGGAGGACAGTGGAAAAATCCATACATAAATCAGGGTTCTTATAAGAACTGCTTTGTGTGTGGTTAAAACAAGGGTTTTATTATGAAACTATGAATAATATTATACGATTTAATAATGATAATAATTGAATTATTTCCACGATATATATACATATTCATTTTTCGGGTCTTTTTCATTACTAAAGTTTGCCTTTTAAGGGCCGGTTTCTCGAGTGCCGGCTAACATTTCTCGAACAGATAAAGTCCCTGCTAAGGCATTTTGGCTTTCTCGAGCATAAATGTGAGAGCTAACTTTGACAGGGACTCGGAGTCCCTGTTAAGCGTTTTCGACTCGATAGAATGACAGCTGATTTCCCAAAGCCAACTATGAAGAAGAAACGAAATCACAACTATCTTTTCTTTTAAATTATACCCAAACAGCTGATGAAATAATCGAAGCATGCCATTTTTTGCGCTTCACACCACAATTCTGTGCGTTAACAGCTCTCTGTAATTGTTTCTCGTTCAGATAAATTAAAGCAGTCGAGAAAGCGGATTTGCTTTTACGAACAGTTTATCTGGTATTTAAGTTTTTCAAACAGATAGCTATCAGGGATTTTGACAGGGACTCGAGAAACCAGCCCTAAATGTAAATAAATGGATTTTAATTTTAAAGTTTGTTAGTTTAAACTTTAAAGTAGATACTTCCTGCAAAAACTTTCAGGACGCGATTATTTATACTCTACAATATTTTTAATAACCGAAAGAAAATTGTAGAAACATTGCTAGTTGCTTTTATAAATTTTTCTCACAAAATAAGAATTTAGAAATATTTTATTTACATTTTTATGAAGTTCTAACAATTAATAAAAATCATTATTATAGAAAATTGGGTTTATATAATATCCATAGCAACCTGCTCCACTGTTCAAAGTCTTGTACGATCCGCTCAAGTCAAAAAGTAATTTTACACATATTTTACGCCATCACAGGATGGCAGCAATGGAATGGGGATGGGGATGTGGATGACGACGAGGACGAGGATGTGCCCTTCAGGCTGGCATGTTGATTGGAGTAAGTACTGCAGATGACTGGCGGAGGAGCCCACCTGTCAAGTGTCACAGGCAATGGGGGTTGGGATTTAAGGGAGGAGGCCTATAACCTGCATGCGATTAATGCAGGCCAGGAAATCACTGGCTGGGCCAAAGAAGCCCGAACCCAAGCCGATATAATTCTCGGCATACAGCGGCCATCAGAAGCTCACTGCTCACTTGTCAAAAGCATAAGCCCCAACCACCCACGCACATAGAGGAGCTGGATCTCCAATCCCGGCATCAGCATCCACATCCATCGCATCGCATCATCCATCAATCAAGGCAAATTGTGGTGTTCGCTTTTTCGGGGGCGGCCAGCGCCATCTGGCGGCTGGTAGTGCCACTCACCTGTCTTGTAAGCTGTTGAGCCAATTATGAAATCGGGCAGCAGATAAGCGGCGCTGCGGCCCTTCTGGTTGTACGAATAGATGCGGAGCCGCAGCGAGTTGTTCTCCTGGACCATCATCGAGGTCAGGGTGTCCAGGTTCTCCAGCGAAAATAGTGCCTCCTCGGCGTTGCTCAAATTGAATCTGCAAAAGGAGAAAAGAGCAGAGGGACTTAGTACAAAAGGGCAATGGGTTCGAGATGATTGCGAATTAAATCAAACGAAATGGCCAGGAAATCAACGGCATTAAGCCCTTAATCAAATGTGCGGGGGCTGAGCGAAAGAAAAAGCCAATGCCGCAAATACTTTTTGGCAGCCCTTTTCCTTTTGGCATTTTTACGGGTTTTCCGCTGGCATGTTTTCCTAACCCCAAGTAGCCCCCTCTCCAGAAAAAAACCCTCATAAGATATTCGCTCTTTCCAATCATGACCTCAATTTGAATTTGATGCCTTTGCCAACGAATGCGGCTTTGACTTGTCTGCCTCTTGGATTCCCCACAATCCTTTCCTCGCAAACTTCTGAAATATTACGGTTCAATGTCTATATATATTTCTGCCAAACATTTTAACATTGATGACGATGTTTGTTGGGTTCTTTTTCCCCCGTTTTTGTTTGTTTTGTTTTGATGATGTCTTTGTTTTTTAATAACAAAATGTTTATTTGGAAAAAATATTTGTCATGAATTTATGCGAAAGGAAAAGCGATACGAGGACAACCCTCGCATAATGTTATGTGCGCATATGAATTTGATTTCCATTTCCGCATTTCCCCATTTACCATATAAACCATAAACATGGCATACGCATTTAATATCCACTATGAATTCAATGGCTTGAGGACCCATTTAAAGACAAACACACAGTGCCCAAGAGCGAGCAGTTTCACGCCTAATTACACACCTACATGGAGTGCTTTGCACATATCTTATTAGGTGGAGAGCACTTGAAATACATTTACCCTGAGTTCCCCATCCAAACTATTATGGAATAAAATCATGCTGGTACATCTGTCTTTGTGGGGGTGTCATCTGCAGACATCTTCCTGCGATTGCGGGGGTTCAAAGGTGTTCGGCCAAACATGACCATGCATACATAATTATTAGCCCCCAAGGTTTGCCGTGGGACTTAAATCGATTATTGCTGGGAATAAATGGTCAAGCTCAGATTTGAGCAATAAAAAAAACTATTAGGTTTACTTTCTTATGTAGTCTAGGTACAATCCTAATATATTGTCACTTTTCAAGACTACAAAATTCTGAAAATCCCAAGTTAAAGGTTGAGTAACTTATATAATCATACGAAAAATAAAATATATAAACACAATTATTAATTTTACAATACATATATTCACACAATAAAAATCGAATAAAAAATCAAATAATACCTACAAACGAAATTAAATAAATTAAATTATTTGTTTTGGTTCTAAGCAAAAAAATAAAAGTAAAAAATGATACATAGGTGCGTATTAGAAAATGATTCCATTGAAAAAATTAAAGCTGTTATGAGTGAAAAATTTAATAAAATAAATACAATTAACAAAATTCTTTTAAATACAGTAATGCGCTTAGAAATTAGTTTCGAATTCAGCTTAATTTCACAAACGTTTAATTTCCCACGTTCCATTTGGTTAAAGCTAGAGCGTTTTCCATGGCCCGCCAGAGGGTTAAAGTTCAGGCACATACATGAATGCGAAATGTGCTTTCCCCAAAACGATATGGAGCCATTTGTTTGACATATGTTCCATATCTGGGCTCCGGGTCAAGTTGGACCGGACATAAGCGGCTTAAAATCAAGCCCCCGAGCGGAAGTGAAAAGGGGCAGCTCTGTCCCCCTGGCAGCTGTAGTTATAGTTGATTAATATGCTTACCTGGTGATGCCGGTGCGTGTTGAAAACATTTCCAGTACAAATATTTGCGGCAGGCCGCCGTCATAGCCCGGTATGCACTGTATGTCAACACTCAGCTCAGTTCGGTTGAAGACGGTACAATTGCTGACGGCATTCGGCAGGGCTGCAATCGGAATCGCAATGGGAATGGGATTTGCACAGTCCGCACACATTCGCATCCAGGAATCAGATTTATGTTTGGGTCCCCAGTTACGCAGGAAATTAACAAGCAGCAGCATCGGGAAAAGTCAAAGAGTGGAGCATGAGTGTTGGTTCTTTTTTGGGGAATGCAATCCCGAATCCCCAAACTGCCCCCCAAAAATGCACAATGGTTCTGGTTTTCGGTATGACTCAGTCTTTCTCTCTGTCTGCCGGTCTGTCCATTTTCCGGAGGTGGTTTGCCCCCCAGTTCGGCTTTCCGAGTACTCTGTTTGCCACTGTTTGCATGCGGCATTAACATGTTAAGGTCAAATTGCACGTAATGAAGCAACAGCAAACAGCCGCACAACACAACCGATGGGATAGGAGAAGCCTGGAGCAGCCTTTCGACATTTGTGCATACGGGGATTTTAACTGACATAAGACTGCCTTTGATATATGAAATATGATCCTTTCTATGAGCTTATCCAAAAATATTAAAAATATGCTCTTTTGTTGATATTTAAATAGTAAAATTCTTTAAATTGAAAACAAATATTATATATATAATAAATCTTAATCACTATTAACAATATTACCACATTAATATTAGATGACAACTCTGTAAATTTTTTTTGATTTTACGGTCTTGATGCTGAGCTATTTAGTTGAAAATTTAAATACATTTTACTGGTAAATGGAACTAAATTTGTCTAGTCAAAAATATTGTTATTTTCATTAATCACTATTGACGATTCGTTAACATTTTACCATAATAACCTTTAACCTTTAGTACTAAGTCAAAAATAGAGTTGTATTAATTTTCAGGATCTATTCTATTCTACTTTATTATTATTTTCAATTAGATTGGACCCAAAATAAAGTAAACTAATTAGACTAAAAAGTTGTATGGTATTATTAAAAAAAAAGTGTTTTCATTTTAGTTTGTCCTAGAGAGTTAGAACTCTTTATGTTGACCCATGAGCCCCTTATAACCACCGATTGTGGACCATTTACAAGATATGTGTTTTCCCCCATCTCCTACTAAAAACTTACCGGCCAGGACCACTTGGAAGAGGCAGGGATGCTGCTGGGTGCCCACCTCGTTGGAGGCCCAGCACGACAGTGTGCCATAATCCTGCGAATACATATTTATTTATTATTTAAAATGCGGCTCTTGCTTAATTGCCCGGAGCTGACTTCGGTCTCCGCTGTGGACACACTATATATATACACCAAAATATATATATAGAGGGGGTGGAGGAATCGGCGTGTTTACCTGATCTGTGACCGGTGTGTACTTTAAAATGCTGCGGCTGCCGTTCACGCTGAATCGCTCGCTGCCCACGTCCAGAGTTTCGCCCGAGTTGTTGAATTTCCAGCGAAAAGTCCTGCAAAATGTTTATGTGCACATGTGTGAGTAAGTTGCGTTGACATTTTGACAGAAGTGTGTGATGGTGTGTGTGTGCAGGAGGCAGGACTTCAGTGACATCGGCGAAAAACGAACAGGTAAAATGGGGAACAGGAGCCGGCGAGTGAAACATGTTTGCGAAGTTTCCATTTTTAAAATAGCTTGTTAAAATATTAAAGGTTAAGCGGAGGATGGATGGAGAGTCCAGTCCTCATCGGATGGAAACTCACACATTTGGAAGCCTTTTAAAAGGTTAATTATCTCTGGCATATTCGGTCGGACGCTTTCGCATCTTGGCAGTGCAAAAATAAACTTAAATCAATAAAAACAGAAAATCCATTTAAAACATCGTCGTGGTGGTGCGGGAAAAAGGTAAATGAAATCAATAAAAGACTGAAAATATGCTGGCCGATGTGGGAGACTTTGAGCCGGGAAGAACTCGATGTCAACAACAATGCCAATATCTTTGATTTATTTCTGGTAATTAATCTTGCGAATCCTTTAACTGAACCATTCGTTAAATATGGGGCCGATATAAAAAGAGGAAGAACTTTAGGTAAATATTTAAATATACAGTTCCTGGATTAATAATGGAAAATAAAAATAATAATCTTAAACTTTATTTATTTCTGATAATTTCGAATATAAATTTTATATATATTTCTCCAACTATTCAACAAATAATAATAAACCTTTTTTGTTTTCCTGCACTTGTTTCTCTATTTTTGTCCTCCATAATTTGAATTCGTTATGTACTTTCTGCAACAGTTTTTGATTAAATTTTAATACATTAACATGCTGTGGTAATACATTTTTTACCCCGCCGCTTGTCAGGCGTTTAAATGCTGATAAATTAACTTGACGCCCCGCGAGTTCTTTTCCCTCCGGGCCAAACCCATCGCCCAAAAGCTCGCAGCAGCTTTTTAATGTTCACGCTATGCTCCAGCCAGCCCCAGTTTTCCTTCGATATTTTCCACAGCTTTTCCAGCCAGCAGCCACAACAATTACACGGCGCCGCAGCTGCCTTGGCCTCGGCCTCGCATATTTTCCGCCGGCTAATGATTAATTATTTTAGCATAAAGCGTCAGCACAAGACGCAGTACAACAGCAACAGAAAAGCAGAGAAAAAAAATTGAAATTAAATACAAGACAAGACAGAATGTAAGGGGGATGCCTCTCAGACATCTCGGACTCTAGGAAGAGTGGCAGCTGGCCGGGCCTCAGTGGTGTGGCCTCATTAAAAAAACATTAAAGTGCGCCACATTCCCGCTGTCCGAGACCAAATCCCAGCTCCATGCGAATGGCAAAGCCAGTTGCACATTTAAAATGAATTAAAATCAACAATTTAAAGTCCGTGGAAAAGAAATAACAGAAAGTACGACAAACAAAGAAAAACCGGATAAAAGAGAAAATCCCAAGGAATGAATACCAAACAAAAAAAAACAGAAAATTGTTAAATTTTCTCACATTTGCTACAAAATAAACAGCATTTTCCGCTACGCACTCACGCACAGACACACTCACGCGCCTGCACACACACAATCACAATCATTTGTCAATTTTACAAACTTCCTTTCAACAGGAAACCGGAAGCAATCGCCTACAACACAGCAAAAACCTTTATGAGGGCTGAGTGGAAGGGGAAGGAAGGAGGAGGGGGATTTCCAGAAAGCTTTTCCGATTTCTACTTTTTGTTTGAACTTACCGCGGCGGCGGATCGGCTTGAATTTCGCACACAACCTCAACAGTCTCGTCCTTGGAGGCGCCAATTAATATCACGCGGTCGGAGTGCTTGCAAATGGGCGTGTCTGTAATGAGGAGATTTAGATAAGTCAGTGGGGAAAAATTCCTTATAGGTGACAATATTTATGATGATTGAAGAAACCAACCCCCGTCCTTTTTTTTGGAATTCAGCTTTTCTTTGGGAGACCACACATTTGGAGTTACCTTTGGCAAGGACCCGCCCCAACATTTGGTCCTTCGAGCCGGATCAAATGTTTTTTTCCTAAAATAAAAACTCCAAGTATCGAAAGCTACATTGTTCAAATTATAATTTAATCAAATAAAAACACCTCTAAACGAGGTAAAAAACTAGTGACGAACGCACCATCAACATACAAAAGTTCTGATATCAACATTTGTGACGAAAAATTATTACACTCGTCATTGAATAGACTTTCTAATATTTTCACATTCGGCCCGCCCTAGCAAACTATTCCACCCTTTTTCCCTTCACAGGCATTTTCTATTGCAGCGTGCCGAATGAGAAAATATTAGAAAGTCTATTTAATGACGAGTGTAATAATTTTTCGTCACAAATGTTGATATCAGAACTTTTGTATGTTGATGGTGCGTTCGTCACTAGTTTTTTACCTCGTTTAGAGGTGTTTTTATTTGATATCAGAAGTTTTTGTTTGTTTACTTTTGCACTCATAGGTGCTAATATAAACATGTAAATTTAAATTGGTCATAAATCATAATTTTTAAACTATTGTATTTTAACGAATTAATTTAAAAAGGCGTTGAAGTATTTCAAAATACCTTTTAAACGAGGTATAGCACATGTCTGTACCTTTAGTAGTGTAGAACTTACAAACTAACGAAATTTAGCTATTTTTAGCTTTTTCCCGCTAAAGTAGCGGCTTTTTCCAAAAGTCGTAGAACAAAAGATTCCTATATGGAACTCTTAAGTGCAAATTTACTGATTCCATGACCCTAAAGTACAGTTCGGATACCCTCACACAAAATTCAATACTCAGGGAGCGTTAATTGTTCGAGCTGGCAAAAGTGGCTATTTTCGTATAAAAATAACTTTTAAACGTGACTTTTTACAGTAATGTGCTATGTACCAAAATTTAAGTAATCTCAAGGGCTATACAGTTTAAAGTTTTAAAGAAAATCGTTAGAGCCGTTTTTGAGAAAAATAAAAAAAAGCTAAAAAAAAAAATTGTCTTTTGTTCATATTTTTTTAACTATTACTTTTACACAAATTACATATAAGAGGCGTTTATAGCATTTTAAAAATACCTTTCAAACGAGATGCAGCACAAGTCTGTAGCTTTAGTAGTATAGAAGTTACGGCTTTCCTAATTTTAGCTATTTATAGCTGTTTTCCCGCTAAACTAGCGAGTTTTTCCAAAAGTGGTAGAACAAAAGTTTTTTATATCGATGTGATGAACGTCATATAAAATTTTCAAAACTTAAAAAACATGTTTTGGACAAACTGACAAACTGACAAACTGACAAACTGACAAACTGACAAACAGAATTAAATTTTCATTTTGGGAAGACGAAGAAAATCTTATTTTGGCTATAACTTTTGAACGGAGCGTCGGATTTTGACAAATGACCCCTCATTCGACGGGTATTTTTAAAAGGAATACAACTAAAACATTGCGAGGGGGCATTTATCCCCACCGGCCCTAACAGCTCCAAATTTCGAAATTTTCACTTTTTCACTTTCACCGCTCTCTCTCCCAAGCCAATTGATTTTCTTAAAGTCTTGGTATGCAATCCTGTTAGTTTTCGCAATACCTTTCGATAGGTGTATCATTCATTATGATCGGACCATCACAGTAGATTTTCATTTTTTCGTGTATATATAGTAGTCGCCTTCGCACACTCTCCTGGTGCGCTTCGTCACTACATGGACTGCCGTCCATAGTGATACCTATTTTTTTTATCCATTTAATAATATCAAAATCGTTTTTGTAATTACTAAGTATTAATTATTTAAAATTAGAAAAAAGAAAAATTGATTAATTTTGTGCAGAATTTAGGAATAATACAATTTTATTTTACCAAAACATTAATTGCAAAATATAAATAAATTATAAAATCAAGGATTTATTTCCTGAAAATTCAAATAATTATATATATACCTATTAAAATTAAATTTTATATTGAACCACATATTATTATTAAGAACTAGCTCTTACAAACTCTGTTTAGTATTATGTTTACGTATCCCTTTGATTTACCAGCAAAGGCAGATAAACTTCATTCGCATAAGCTCGTAAAATATTCGTTTACCTATAAATTTTATATAAATCCAATTCGAACACAATTTGAATCCCCTGAAGCCTTGTCTTTGACAAAATCACACTCTTTTATTTTTATGTCGAGCATTTCCGGATTCTCTGGCACCTGTTGAATGACAACTGAGATACCTTATCAGCGGTAGGACATTAAAATGTCCTGAAAATCGTTTGGGGGGAAATGAGCCGAAGTATTTGGCTTGTGTGGGTGGGCGTGGCAGGTGAAAAACGCACAAAAGTGATTTAGACAGCCGGAACCGAACGAAAAGAGTGACGCCTTCGCATCAGGCTGTCAGCCAGTTAGTTAGTTGGATGGGAAAACGGGTGGGAAAATTCCTAATGGAAAAGCCGGCAGAGCGAGGAGAACCCTCTTCTCGCTTACGGGAAATTAATTAATGTGGCAACATGATTTAGTACTTCCCAGGTAAATAGGCGTTCCATAAATGTTAAAGGATTATTAGCTGACGGCACACGTGGCGTATGCGTAATTTGCTGTCGTCGACGGGCGCTGACTTTCACTCTCCCTTTCTCCCCACTTTCTCGCACATCCGTTCGCAACGTTTTTGAAGGCAACTTGAATTTCTGATGAATTGTTTATCTTCAAAAATGTACACAAAAACCAGAGGGGCGTAATTAATTAGCCGGAAAATTACGCCCAATTTTGGGTATCCTGCTAATTTTGTTGTTGTTGCCAACTTTGGTATTATTCATTTAAGAGTGGGGTGTGTGGGCCGAAAAGTATGTGGAGTGATTACTTAGTCGCTTTGCTAATTAAGCCGTACTTGAGTGGTAGAAAAGGGAAGTGGGGATACTAGGAACTGACCGAAATTATGAGCCAAATTCAATGTGAATCCTTTGTGGTAAATTCTCTTGACTGAATCAACAAGTAGTGCTTTCTGCGAACTTTCCCTATCGACATAAAAGCCAAATGCTATTTAACCCAAGATAAGCCGCATTAAGGTTTCCATTTAATCTATGCCTCCCTCTAATATCCTCCGCAATTATTTGATTCAAATATTATGTAATTCATGTAATGTTTAATTATAACCTTATGCCTGTAATGTCTCGGCTTAGACTCATCATCCAAGTTATGCATTCAACTGACTGGGAACTGCGCTCATGTGGCTCAATCAGCACGGAATTTAATCCCAAATTTATGACGCACTGCAAAAAATCAGAACTAAAACCAAAGGTTGCCTAACTCTTTTGTAAACAATTTTTAAAATAACAGAAAAATTAAAGAGTAAGCTTGCTAATTTTTTATAATGTTTTGTACGAATATTTATCTCAAAGAAATTAAAATCAATTTATGTTAAGCCCATAAAATGTTGCAGAAAATTCAAATAACTGCTTTAAGTTTGATTTTAAAATAGAATATTAAATCAGATGTATCTGATAATCTTGTCTGATAAATAGGGCTTTTACTCTTATTTAGTTGGTAAACTAAAATATTTATAAAAAAATTTAGCCATTGGAAGTTTTTAGTTTTGCTGGGATAAGAAGCAAACAAATTGACAGCAATTTGTTGGTGGAAATGTCTTCCTTCTTTTGATCGAATTAAGCTTAAGATTTATCAATTATATTTCTCAGTGCCGAAAGTGCAGAAGAAGCCTCGGCGGAGAGACAGTGGGAAAGGAAAATCCCGGCACTGGGATGATGGCGGCGCACTCCATTTAATTTATGGCTCGCAGCAATGCGCCTGTCAAAATATGAGTGTCTGTGTGCGCAGTACTTGAGCTGGAGCGGCAATTTGTATGGCTCAGAACTCAGAACTCGGGGAACTGGTGGAAAAAGCAGCATTGCTACATAGAGCTACATGTGTATCGCTCAGAAGCAGCTAGACTTAGCCAGTACAAGTACCAAGTGCCAGTACCCCCGGCTCATTACAACCATCCTCATCATAATCATCATCATGATCATCGTCGTACTCCTCATCAGGCCAGGCGTCTCTGTCAAATTGCTTAAATTCGGCGAAGGATTTTTTGAGGGGGCAAGGGAAATGCCGGGGAAAATTCGGCTTCATAAGTTGCGAGCGGCAGCAACTTTTCGCGGGCTGTTAAATTGAAGCATAATTCCGCCTGCAGTTGCAGCTGCCATGAAATATGGCCAAAGCCAACGCGTGTGGCAAGCATATGAAATTCGCAACAGCGCTCTCTCCAGACAAACGAAGAAGCCAAGCTGAAATGTTGTATTTATGCAAAAAGCGGAATGAAAAATATATATATTTTTTCAGCTTTTTTTTTCTGTAGCCTTGACGTGCAACTGAGCCAAGACTGCCGTCGTTCTGAGTTGTAAAATGAAAACGGACGGAACACACACAGTACGAAAACAGGGGAAAAAATATATAAATAAAAGCAGCCCGCCCCGGAGAAGAAAAAGGCAAATTGCAATACATCAAATGAGTCGTGGCTGTTTGGAGGGTGGAGAAAGGGGGCTTAGTACGGGGGGGTATATATGACAACTGCGACGGCTGCAGCCCTGACTTTATGATAAGAAACCAGAAAACAGACGAGCTCTCCTCCGAGTTTCGCAGAACGAATGCAGAATGCTGCATTGCCAGATAGATGACGCATTCAAACAAAGTGCCGCTTGCTGCTTGGCAAATTTATGCTTAAAATCGCTGATGCATCACAGTTTCTGTTTAAAGGATTCGCTGGCAGGAAGAAGGACTACTCACATTTCACCCGCAGTGGCAGCTGATTGCTGACCGTCTCGCCCTCGTCGTTGATGGCACTGCACGCATAGTTCCCCGCATAGTGCTTCGTAATCTTCTGCAGTACCAGGCTCTGATTCGAACGGATGACCCGGGCGGATGTATTATGCTCCAGATGGATTCCCTGCGAAAATTATGAAATTTTCATGTGTAATAATGTAGGGAAAATTAATTACAAACAGGCATTTTTCACTGGCTGTAGTGTCATAAATATTTTAGGTTCATAAACGTTGCTGGGTGGCTTGAAAATAATATAAGGCGACATTTTTTTTTTGAACAATCTGATATTTATAGTATTAAAATACGGCAAGAAATTTTAAAAATATATTTGCGAGATGCAATAAAACATAAACAACTTAAAATAGCGAATTTTCTTGAACTATTCATTTATTTCCTCACTTTTTTAAGATCAATTGTTCTCGAAATCAAGCGTAGTGTTCTTTACTTGGATTTATTGAAAGGCAAAAATTAATAAGTTCATATGGAATTTCCTATTGATTTATTAAATTTACTTTATTAGTTTATTATATATTCTATATTTCATGGCACTTTTTTTTGGGTGCATGGCTATCGAGTTTACCATTAGTGTAATTAAACACCATTCAACTGAATTTTAAAGGCAAATGATATGCCAAACCGCACTAAAACAATAACCAAGGAACACAATCGCTGATGCATTTACCAGAATTAACTTAGAGTCCATTGTTTTGAATTTCGCAATCTGTAAATCTATACGTGAAACTGAACTAATGCAGCTGCCCAACTATAATCCGTTCTAAAACCACTCGGGTTCGAATTTCAATTTGCCAAAATCCGCTAAGCGCATCCGAAAGGCAAAAATTCGCCAACATGGGTTATTCCCCAGTGGAGGAGAGGAAGTGGGCTGTCGGTTCGAGATGTGGATGTGGATGTGGATTGTGTAGGATGAGGATGGGAACTTGGCCTGAGTGATTGCCAAGCGACTGCGGATTGCAGTTGAGCGACGGCAAAATCAATGCCGCAAATCCCAAAACTATTTTACCCAAAATGGCAGCCCAACCCATCGCACCCAACCCCACTCCTTAGCAAAGAGACCACGAGAATTGAAATGAGCAAATGCAGATTCGGATTCAGATTCAGAACCATGCATCGGGACATGGGACACAGGACACAGGACAACGCCGACTAACGGAGGAACAGCCACCTCAACGCATACGCAACCTGCCATGTTATTGACACTTAACCAGGATAACCAGGACTCCAACAGCAAGGAGCCAGCCAAGCAGATGCCTTTCAGGGATTCCAGCCATTCAGTGGTTTGGGCCGGATCCAAATTGGTCCCCGTCCCCGGTTCCATCTATCCATCTGCCTGGTTCACTCCTCACTCCTCATTCCTGGCCAAACTCGCAGTTCGACCTACATTATGCAACCACAACAGTTTCCGCCATTGAGGATTCGATTGTACGTGACACTCGAAGTAAACATCGTCGCCTTCCTTGATATCATCCGGTGTCAAAGTTGAGCCCAAGCGTAACGTCACCAGGGGAGGATCTGCAAAGAGGAGCAAAGAAGGTAGTCAATTAGCCATTCATCAGGTGGTGATGGAAATCAAAGGGTAATCAAAAACGGATATTGAGTCTTACAATTAAAAAACTAAATGATTAGAGTATTACAAGCTATGAAGTTTATAATGCAAATAGTCTCCTAATATGTACGTAATTTGGTTCCAACATGTTACGTCATTTACTTTTATTTATTTTTTTTTATTTTTATCCAAAAAGTTAATAAATTTAAAAGGGAATTCTCCCTCAGCTCTTGAAATTTATTCTATAAATTAGAAATATTATAGGAAGCACTTTGTAACCTTTTTACTTAAATATTAAAAAAATATTATTTAAAATAGTAAACCCATACATTTATTTTTTTTTTTAATTTAAAATCTTTTAAAAATATAAATGGAAATTAAAAAAGATTTTAAACCAAAATCCCTTTGGTATATTCAACTTCTAAACTTGCTGTTTCCATACATCTTCCGGTTCCGCAGCTGACTTGTCATCGTCCCCGGAAAATCCCGCCCTCACTGTCATGATCAAGCTTATTTAATAGTTTTTGCAAATATGAGCGATTTAGAGCAATAACTGGAACAAAGTGAAGCATCAGCCGAGAGTTATGAGGACATGGCAACGACATCCCATCGCCATCGCCCATCGACCGCTGTTTGCCAACATGTGTTGCCGCTTAAGTCGTTTGAATTTGCTTAACGAGCCACAAACTTTGCGACAAACAGAGGAGCCTCAGGACAAGGACAAGGACCAGGAAAGGACGAGGACCAAGACTAGGACCAAAACCAGTACCAGGAATAGTAGCTTTCTCGAGAAAGGGGCAAAAACAGGGGCAAACAGGGGGACGCACGTGCCAGCCTTAATATTGTTGAGTTATTGGCGGCCAAAAACCAAACGCCGACAGTCAAGAGTTGGCCAGAACGGGGAACCCCAAGCAAAAGCCCAAACCCAAAATCAAACACCAAGCCAAAGCCAAAAAGTTCCCTTCCGCCCTGCTGAAAAACTTTAGAATGGCCTGGAAAACTTTTGGCCCAACTCTTGGGTGGCATTTTACTCGCCGCCCACTTATGTGTAAGTCGCCGTTTCTCCATTTCTCCACTTCTCCGTTTCTCCGCTTCTCAGTTTCTCCAGTCAGCGTCTGCCAATCAGGCAAAGTGCCCAAAGGGCTGTGAAAACTCTTTCGCTGGAAAAGTCGCGTCGCGCATTTCCGCACACATGTTGCAGGCCATTTTTGTGATTATCATTTACCGTTCCCGGCAAGGATACCGTTGCCCCCTGACCCCTTTTTCCCACCCTTTCCCCCACCCCAAAACCCGGTTTCTTTGGCCCAAAACGACCATCGATCGATGGCGGAACGGAAGTCAACGGTGGCGCGGAATTTATGTGCCAGCAAAGGCTGTTGTATTATGGCTACTGCCTCGCGGGATTCGCCAAGTCTACAAATATTAAAGATGTTTTGGCTGCGAAATTCAAGAAACTTTTTCGATGCTTTGAATAAATTGTTGTATGAGGGCATTTGCTTCAAAATCTGTAGGCAAAATTTAAAGTCGATATTGCCCATTATAATTTTAATAAAAGTTTGATTGCATATTGTTATAAACATTATAAATTTTGAAAAAGTAAGACACAAAATATTAAGTAAATTTGTACTGAAAAGGAATACATTAAATATACAGAAAGTTTGATTATTTCAATTAATTAATGGTGATTTTTATTTCTCAGTAACGATTGTTATCGGTACCAAAATTTCAAACCATGTAAGCTTTGATGTGTACTTTTTTGTGAACTAGTTCCAAAATTAAAATCATAGTAGGCCATGAAACATGTTGTCATTCGAAGTAAAAAAATTTTCCCTCAGTCAGTGAGATTCCTGTGCACAAAAAACAACGAAATAATTATAATAAATATTAAACTAATAAAATCTGAGATTGTTAATAGATTATTATAATAAAGTATTGTTAATATAGTATAATGCCACACAAAAGAAGAGTGGCTCATATCAAGAAAGACGTTAATGACTACGTAGAACCGGAGCCGCCTGGCAGACGAAAAATTGGAGCCACAAGAGTGCCAGCACGATGTCAGAGCCCAAGAAACTCGCGCAATCGCAACGATATCTCTCCAAGCGGCAGCGAGGAATATGTAACCGATCCATATGCCAAAAAGCCAGCACAGAAAAGGCAAAATCCGCATGTAATGACAGGAAAGGCAGGGAAATTGGATACGGTGCCAAGGGGAAGGCAACAACAACAGGCGGCAGCGAGGGGAAATACCAGGGTTACTCCAGAACCTTCGGATAATTATCCGCGACCACAACGAGGTGCTCTACGCGATACTACAGACAGTCGAGTCAAAACTCCAGAACCTTCGGATAATTATCCGAGACCACTTCAAAGACGAGTCAAAACTCCAGAACCTTCGGATAATTATCCGCGACCACTTCGAAGTCGAGTCAAAACTCCAGAGCCTTCGGATAATTATCCGCGACTACTTCAAAGACCAGTCAAAGCTCCAGAGCCTTCGGATAACTATCCGCGACCCCTGCAAAGTCAAGTCAATAAAAACGATGGATCTAACTCGAATTCATCGAGGCGTTCGAGATCTAGCCGTTCAGGCTTACAAAAAAAAGAAGAAGATACGTCTAAAAAGTATGTTAATTGTACAGAAGAACCTAAAACTCCCGAATTTACCGGCTGGACTAATTTTGCCCCGAATATTAATGTTGAGGAAGCGGAGCCACCAAGATCCTCCAAGCTATGGACAGACCCCAACGTAGTAATAGAAAACGCTATAGAAGCAAGAGAATTGGAAAAGCAAGGCAAAAGCTCAAGGGCCTCGGAAAAACAGGCTGCGGAGGAGAAAACCAAGAGTACCCGACGATCCACAAAGAAAGTTGCTGAGCCCGAACCAAAAAGTAAGACTACCTCTTCGGAATTGCAAGGAAAAACTAGCTCAAGTCAAAAATGTTCGACTTACTCAAATCAAAAATGTTCTGCTTCGTCCTTGAAAGCGGATGAAAAACCGAAATCAAGTCAATCCACGAAGAAAATTGATGAACCCGAAACAAAAACCAACTCAAGTCGTGATACCAAGAAAAGGTTATGCCCAGAATCGAATAATTCCACAAACATGTCTGAATCGGGTGGGGATAAACGTGGTCGGAATTCCACCTCAACTACAAGTTCTAATTCCAAAGCTAAGCCCAAAAATTTGGATGATCAAACGGGTAAAAAAACCCAATCATGTATAAGGGTGGCAAATTTCCCGAAAATTCCCGAAGATTTGATTATAAAGAAAAAGCCAAGTCCAGAAATTCCCCCTATAAAGCAGGAAAAAGATCTACAAGATTATATTAAAATGGAAAAACTGAGTCCCGATGACAAGGACCTGAATTATCACCCGGCGGAGCATAATAGCTCTGATTTACACAATGTAGTCAAGTCAGAGCCCCTTTCTCATAGCGATTACGCCGATATAGAAGCAGATTTGGAGAAAATGTGCCGGGAGGAGAATGAAATGATGAATAAAACAGTCTCCGTAAAACAGGAACACGATACTGATAATCCGTTTATCGATAACGATAAGGAGCAGAAAGACGATGTACAGGACGAGATTGACAGACGTCTGAAAGCCGAAATGGAGTCCATGTTCGCATCTTATCAAGAAGGAGGCAGCCCACCATTAATAAAGCAGGAACCATCTTATAAAGAACCCTCTCCCCCACCAGCTGATCCCAGTAAAGTCGATGCTGATATGGACGCTCGCCTGCAGGCAGAACTCAACTCTCTACCCATGATAAAAAGGGAGATTGAGATTCCATCTAGTGCACCACCACCTTCTATACATTATCTGAAACCGATAATCGGACCACCCCAAGTGGCACCTACTAAACAAATCGTGAATCCTCCATCCGTTTTTACCATGACCCCTCAAGTGGCCACCAATCAGTTTCGCACCCTGGCTCAAGTTCCGAATGTCACGCTATTGAAGGGCGTTCGAGGGGAGAATATTGCCGTTCAAATTACCAGAGCTCCCGATGGTCTCATCACCAATGCGGAAGTGGTGCCGCCTTCCATGGGTTTAAAACCCAGAGAGAATTTCACGGCCAGTCAATTGCATCAGATACTGCAGAGTGCTCAACCCTATTTGGCCCTGCCTGTAACTCTAAAACCGGGAGACATTAAAAATGAACCGCTGAACACCAGGGATATTCCAGGAGTATACCCAACACCCGGAGAACAGCAGGTGGTCGAGGACGAGGAGGTTGACTACGAGGAAATCGGTGTGGCCGATACCTTTGCCGCCTATTGGCCGAGTAAGTTGAAAGTGGGCAGGGCTCATCCCGATTCCGTGGTGGAAACGGCCACACTATCATCCGTGGAGCTACCCGATATCACCTATAAATTGGATCTCCCCCCGGAGACCACCGATTGTCTGAGTGCCCTGCAACTGGAGGCGGTGGTCTATGCCTGCCAGGCCCACGAGCAAATCCTACCCAGCGGTGAGAGAGCGGGATTTCTTCTGGGCGATGGAGCTGGCGTGGGAAAAGGTCGCACCATTGCGGGTATTATCTACGATAACTACGTGAAGGGCCGGCAACGTGCTCTCTGGATCTCCGTCTCCAGTGACCTCAAGTTCGATGCGGAGCGAGATCTGGCGGATATAGGAGCCCATGATGAGGTGCGTGTGGCGGCCATTAGCAAGTTCAAGTACAGTCGCATATGTTCCAATGAGAATGATAACTTTACAAAGGGTGTGATATTCTGCACCTACACGGCACTCATTGGGGAATCGGTAACGGCCAATTCGAAGTATAAAACCAGACTGCGACAATTGATCCACTGGCTGGGCAAGAATTTCGAGGGGGTGATTGTGTTTGACGAGTGCCACAAGGCCAAGAATTTGAGTCTGATGAATGTGGGCAAGTCCACGAAGACGGGAACTACGGTTTTGGAACTCCAGAAGTTGCTACCAAATGCAAGAGTGGTCTACGCCTCGGCCACTGGGGCGAGTGAACCGAGAAACATGGCATATATGGTGAGATTGGGTCTTTGGGGTCAGGGAACCGCCTATCCGGAGTTCTATGAGTTTGTAAATGCGGTGGAGAAGCGCGGCATCGGAGCCATGGAAATTGTGGCCATGGATATGAAACTCCGGGGAACCTACATAGCTCGTCAGCTGAGCTTTAAGGATGTGAGCTTCCGCATCGAAGAGGTGCCCATGGCCAAGGAGTTCCGAAAGTGCTACAATTTGTCTGCCGAACTCTGGGCGGAAATAAATAAGAAATTCCAGAAGTCCTGTCGCCTAATGTGCGTCGAAAATCGGGTGCAGAAGATCATCACCTGCCAGTTCTGGTGTGCCCATCAGCGATTCTTCAAGAACCTGTGCATTGCCTCCAAGGTAAATCATGTGGTCAAGATGACCCGCCAGGCCACCCGAATGGGCAAGGCGGTGGTCATTGGCCTCCAGTCGACGGGGGAGTCACGCACCCTGGAGCATCTGGAGCGGCATCACGGGAAGCTTAGCACCTTTGTGTCCACCTCCAAGATGATCATTCAATCATTCGTGGAGAAGCACTTTCCAGCTCCGAAACGCGACTCGTTTCATCATCTTCTAAATACGGGTGAGTTCGAGCCGGAAGCAAGATCTCGACCGCCGAGACCCAAGAAGGCCAAGATGAATCCCGACTGGTTTGACGATGACGAGGATGCCGAGGCGGGGGACAGCGATATCGAGATGTACGAGAACACCTGGAACTCGGAAGAGGAGAAGGGGAAGGCGGGACGAAAGCGACGAGGACGTCCTCCGAAGGTGGACAAAGGTATGTTAATATACGTAGAAAGTTATTAGATGCCTGTAAGAATACTTTACCGCGAATTCTTTAGGAAATTTAGTGGCTATATTGACCATGATGTCACAATTGTCAGTTTTAACCATCTAAACGCATACACAAATTCTTCATTCTTATACAAAATAAGACCGCGAATTCTTCAGAATATTTGCTAGTTGTAACCATTGTTTTATATAAGTATTCTTAAAAAAAAAGATTCCTCAGAATAAATAGAGCCAATGTCGGCCATCATTACATATATTCTACCTCTTAACATTCTTTTACAATAATACAAAATTTTAAAGCGCGAATTCTTTAGAACCATTAAATAATTATTATTAATGCAGATCTCTTATCATTAGTTATATTGAAGAACTAAAAGTCATTTAAAATCCCCTATAAACAGTGGAGAAAATCACCATGCAGGAACGCATTCTGCAGCACCTTTGCAATAATATGAGGGCCCAGGACAATGATGGCGAACCCACCTACACTTTCGATAATACCAAGCCGCAAAAGGCGAATATTACGGAAAGGGACGTGGAACGTTGTATCTCTTCCCGTGAACAGTTGCTCGATAAGATTGAGGTGCTGGGCAGAAGGCTGCCGGCCAATACGCTGGACAAGCTAATCTCAGAACTGGGCGGAACCAATCTGGTGGCCGAGATGACCGGTCGTCGCGGGAGGGTAGTGAGAACCGAGTACGATGGCTACAAGTACGAGTCGCGTTGCGATAACGAAATCTCAATGGATTTGGTCAATTATCGAGAGAAGCAGCGCTTTATGGACGGCAGCAAACATGTGGCCATCATTTCGGAGGCAGCCTCCAGTGGTATTTCCCTGCAGAGTGATAAGAGGGTTTCGAATCAGAGACGTCGTTTGCATATCACACTGGAACTCCCTTGGAGTGCCGATCGAGCCATCCAGCAATTTGGACGCACTCATCGTTCGAATCAGGTCAATTCACCGGAATATGTGTTCGTGATCACCGATTTGGCTGGCGAGAGGCGTTTTGCCTCGACGGTGGCCAAAAGATTGGAGAGTTTGGGAGCCCTGACGCAGGGCGATCGTCGTGCCACCGATGCCCGCGATCTCTCGCAGTTCAATATCGATAATAGTATCGGTCGAAGTGCTTTGGAAGAAGTGATGCATCAGCTGACCAGCGATAGGCCACTGGATCCTGCGCAAATACCGCAGTCCTATGAGGGGGACTTCCTATACGACAGCAAAGTATCGATGGCCGGCGTGGGAATGCTCAATGTGCGCGAGGAGAACAAAGTGAAGGTCTTTAGTGTGGAGAAGGATAGTAATAATATCTCCAAGTTCCTTAATCGCATTCTCGGCTGTCGCGTGGAGGTCCAAAATGCCCTCTTCAAATTCTTCCTGGACAAGATGTACTCACTGATCATGCAAATGAAGCGCTCGGGACGCTTCGATCTGGGCATTCTCGACCTGGATGCCCATGGGGCCAGTGTGAAGTCTATTAAGCTAATTAGATTCATTAGGAAGCATGCCACAGGAACTGCGGCCACCGAACTGCACACGGTCATCGTGGAACGGGGCATGCCCTTCGAGACAGCGCTGGCCAAGTAAGTAGGATTTTTAATAAATATTTAGAAAAAAATATAATTGAAGTTTTAAAAACTTTTCTCTCTTAAAACACAAGATCTATCCAATTTCGGATAATCAAAATCGAGATGAAGTGCTCTCGTTCGATAAATCCAATCCAAGACGACTTGCATCTCCATTTTAACGCTTACCTCATCTCTAAAGACAAACCTGAGAGAATTTCGTCTTGACTTCTAGAACATTTCTTCTCGAATTGTCCAACTAAAAACATTTGATCCTCGCTTTTTCCAATTTCAAATTATCAATCCAAGACGATTTCCATCTGCATTGAAAGACTCACCTCAGCCCGAAAAACAAACCTCACAGTACTTTCGCCTTGATTTCAAGAACATTTTCTCGGTCTGAATTTTTTGCTGTCTGGCTAATATATTAAACCCTCCTTTTTAGATACCGAAAAGAGGGCCAGTACGATCACGACGGCTTCTATGTACTGCAGCAGTTGCGTCACAACAAGAACTCCTCTATTCTTTGCCTACAGTCGCCGTCCAATGCGGCGGATGGGTCGACGGGAAAGATAAATCTACAAATCTACCGACCCAACACGGGACCCCAAGTGCGTTTGGAGACCCTGAGCTCGATTTCATCGCGATATGTTAAGGTAACGCCGGAAGAGGCCCGCGAATTCTGGCTGCTGCAGTACGATTCCTGCTTGAATATGTGCTCCCACGTCTACTGGAATCGCATCTGCCCATTTTCCGTGGGCTGCGAAGTTGGCCTCCGGGTGCGGAAGTATCATGTGCTTTCCGGTCTAATGCTGCCCATTTGGGACAGGATCGAGCTGATAATCGAGAAGAACGGCCACAAGATCCAGATCATACGCGTGAAGACCGATGTGAACAAGAAGATTGTGGGCACGGTGGTGCCGCATGCCGTCTACGATGCCCTGGTGGCCGATTTGTCCTCGGACTCCATGGTGGAGAGCCAATAAAGTGACGGTGCCCTCACATTCTATTGCCACTTTAAAAATATCAACTCAAATTGTGGCATTCAAGGCAATACATGTGTGCGGAGCGAGCTTTCGCTTTTTCAAAATGCCAGGCACGCTCCACCAGATCCAAGGGCTCCTCCTCCATCCACCGAAGAGGAGGAGGAGCTGCTCCCCCAGTGTTCCCGGTCATAAACAATGGCCACAAAAGCACATACGGCAAGACACTTACAGCTCGTCTGCGTGCGTATGTGATTCATATGTATTGTCTGCAGTGCTGCGGGGTCTAATAAATTTACACAGAAAAAAATAAACACTACAAGCTGAATTTTTAATTATTTAATTTGTTCCACAGATGAGGGAATTTTTATTTAGACTAAAATATATATAAAAAAAATATTTTTCGCGTTTATACACCCAAATAAATATTTAAGATTTTACGATTTTTTAGGCAAATAGAAAAAGTTGATTTCACCCAAGGAATTTGTTCTTCCAAATAAAGAAAATTTAATAAATTAACAACCATTTTTAAGAAATTAAAGAGCTCCAAAATTAAACTCCAAATTAATGGCCACTTATTAAATCTGCGTTTAATATTTTTAATATAATTTAATATCTTTTAACATTTTTAAAATATAATAAATAATTTTCATTTACATTATTTCTGATTTTCTTGAATTTTTTGTTAAATAAAAGAAAGTAAAAATGTCAAAAAATAATTAAGTAAGTATTTATTTTGACAGTGTCATTTCTTTTCCAGTTCTGCACTCTTGGGGGAATCTGAACAGCGTCTGTGATTGCATTGCATGTTCTGTCTTGTTTCCATTGCTAGGAGACCGAATCCGAGACCAACTAAGGCTGCCCCTCTCGGTTACATTATAAATTTTAAAACGAGTCAGTCGCTTACACACTGCGCACACATGCGCGATATAAACAAAATTATACAATGGCAGTTTTTGGAGGACGAGGATTGGAGTATGGAGTATGGAGCATGGAGTATGAGATGGGCAATGTGTGGCATAAAGCATGACCAAATGGCCTTGGCAAATGTCGTGCCTAAGGAGCCAAAACGCAGTTGGCATAATAACTCACGCGTGATGCAGATATCGTATTCTGGCAACAACAACAAAGACATAAAGAAGCCCAGGCATATAAATTCAGTCTGTACCTAAATTAGAACAAACTGGAATTTATATCTGCTCATGTGAAGTGGGCGATGAGGATAACTTAAAAGAAGTTATGGCAAGCAAGCACTTCCTTTAAATTTAATTTAAGTTAATTTCTTGTATTTTGTATTTGTGGTTTTTAATTTCTGCAGCTGTTTTCCATAAATATTTATAACAATTTTATGTTATTTAAATGGTCCCTAAAAATAAAATCTGTATTGGGAATCACTTGAATTTATTTTAGTTTTTTAATGAAAACCTTTCTTTTTCTATGTAGGCTTTCGTTTCTTAAGCTCTTTGAAGTCTGAAAATCGTGGAAAAAATTCAAAAGACTATTCATGAGATTTCGGTGAATAAAAAAAACACAGTGCCTGCCCCAACATAAGAATTTTCCCCAAAAACACACAAACATTTGGGCGCACTCTTATGTGTATATGGCTACGTGCCGATCATAAAGTTTATTTGCGCCAACGTGGCAACAAAAAACAAAAAATAACACCGTCAATTGCTTTAACGTGAGCAAAAACAAACAAATAAAAAATAATATTCTAAAACATAAAATATGAGCCCCGAAAGTATGTGTGGGGCATAAAAAATATAATCATATTACGCCTATATACACACACATCTACATATATGCATATAAGGACAGACGGAATTTTGTAGGCGTAACCAAACATTTTTAGCAGGGAGAAGACACATCACAGATTGAAGTAACGAAAATATTCATATTTTAAGAAATGAAAAGCAAAGAAATGCTATTACGTGATGCCCTTGGAAACAGAACGAAAAAAATGGGAAGGGAATTTTTTTGGCCACGTTAACCATGGCGTATACGTAACGACTCGTTTTTCCCTTTGCACTTTACGATGTCCGCAGTTTTTTCCGGGCTTTGGGAATACGAATTGAACTGGCTTAAAGCGGGATTTACAATTATTGAGAGTTTGCAGGTGAATAACCACTTTACGGGCTACTTTGCAAACTTATTTGTTGTATTATTTATTTTTATTGAAACGGGGCCGCAGCCAAAGTCCTTCATTTAATTTAAGCGACTGCCATACATTTTGTTAGCCCACATATTTCATTTGGGCTCCCTTTTTTGCACTGCGAAACGCCACAGTGTTTTGGCCCTTTGGCAAATTATTCACAATTTGTCATTTGTCTTTGATTTATTTGCATTTTAAAGGCTTTCAACGGCAAGCGATGGCGATGGCGACATCGCCGCCGTAATAAATTTCAGCCTGGTCTTGTTCGGAGCCCCGGACTGTCTACCTTTTGGTAGCTGTCCTCGCTTTTTCCTTCTTCCTTCGGGAAGGTTTCCTTCTCCTTTCCTCCTCCCTCTCCTTGCCCATTTCCATTTCACTCATACTTTAGACTTAAGCGCAATTTGTAATACTTACAAACGACATTCAATTTCCACATGGTCTCCAAATACAGGCCATTCACATTTGGATTTTCCGCACGGCATGTTATCGATTTGCCATCGTCGTCTGTGGTCGGCACAAAGCTCAGCTCGGAGCGTGTCGAGTTCTTTGATATGTCGTCCTGCAAAAAAATAAGAAAATGTTTCTGCATTAATTAAGTTTTCCCGAACCGAAGCAGGGAACCTTGCCTCGAGTCAAAGTTTCCTTTTCTTTGTGTTTTCTTTTTTGTTTGCAAATTTGTGGAAATATTTTATGTTTGCAATTTAAAATTTATTGGTATGTTTGCTCGGGTTTTATGTGGGTGTGTGTGTGCTCTTGGGGTATTATAAATTTAATGACAGACAGGCAGCAGGGACACCAACAAAAGGCGTCACACCAACAATTAGTTGAGCTTCGCTCGCCGCCATATAGTTGGTATATACATATATGGCCATAAAGTGCTTCACCCTCGATTCCTCCGCTTTGTTAGCAGAGTTTACACATTGCTCAAATCGCTGGAAGGCAAGGCCTTTGCCAGAAATGTGATTTGGTGCTCGGGTTATTGGGTGCCGGGGGTGTTAAAGTGCTGGCAGTTAGCGGCAATATAAATCCTTGTCTTTACGGGGGCGAAATATGATCGATTGGGTATTATTTGGAGCGATTTCGGGGCGTTTTAGCTGCCTCATGAAGAGCAGATATAACATGACCATTTAAGTGAAATAATTAGAGATTCAAAAACATTTAAAACTGCATCTAGATAAATTATAAAATATAAGCATTAAAAGAATATGCGTGAAAAAAGTAAAGATAAAAAAGCCGTTTCAACAAATAAGTCAAAAATTTGTAACTGCTTCGAGCTAAATTATAAAATGCGTACCAATAAATTTCAAACCAAATTATGTTGAATAAAAATCTCTGTAATAAAACTTTGAAAACTGCATTGAGATAAATTATAAAATATATACCTACACCCAGAAAAAAAAATTACATTGATTTAAGTCCACGTTCCTTAAATTAAGGAACGATGGACTAAAAATGGCTAAATAAGGCTATACATGGACATAAAAGTTTTCTTCCCATATACATTTTAAGACTACATGGACTAAAAATGGACCTAAGGCCATATGGACTGTTACATGGACTTAAGTCCATTTTTAGTCCATATAGACTTAAAATTTATATGGGATGAAAATTTGTAAGTCCATGTATAGCCTTATTTAGCCCTTTTAAAGCCATTATTCCTTAAATCAAGGTCAATGGACTAAAATTAAGGAAATTTTTTTTTCTGAGTGTATACATTTAAATAATATCACCATATGAACATGAAATTATACCTGACTTTTTTGTTATAAATAAAAATCTAATTCAACGAATAAATAAATAAATTTAACTCGTGATAAATTATTAAAAATATACAAACTAAAATAGGAACTCGTAATAAATCCCTCTACCCTGTGTTAAATAGTCAGTGAAGAGAATTTACATTATTCAACGTATCCCTTTGCATAGGCTATTTCAATTCGTGGGCTAAACTTCTCAATTAGAACGTCTGCGGGGCTTTGATTAATGCCGGAGGGCCCTCCATGGCTAAAACCCACCCACAACCTGGCCAAAAAGGGAGGCAGACACAGACATATATTAGAAACCCCAAAGTAGGGTACGAAAAGGCATGTAAAACATGTGGGATGGCAGGACTGAGGACTGGGAGGGACCTATGCCGCATTACGGCAACTTTATGCTACATGAAAACTACTGAAAAACATTTCCGGTCTTTAAAAAACACTGGGCTGGCTGGCTGGTTGGCCCAGGAGGAGCTGGCCAAAACGGCAAAGCAATCAGCGTGTATGCATATAAGCGGATAGACATGGACATAAACAACGGGCCAACAGACCAAAGAGGCCCGGGCTGTGGATATATGGGATATAGCTAACCAGGACTCCACTGGAGGTCTGGAGGTCCCGACACACAAAAATGAATTGCAACAAAATTGCGCCAAAACTCCCATAAATTTGTCCAAAGTTGAAGAGAAAAAAGCAAAGCAAACAAAAAAAAACGAAAACAACAAACAAAAAACCAGTTTACAAAACCTATTTTTCGGGATACCCTAACTCGAATACAATTTCTGGGCAAATACCTTAGAAAAGGTGCTAAAAAGCTAATTATGAAATAACTATAAAATACCAGAAAATAAACGAAATTAAATTATAAACCATTTATTATACAAAATTAAATAGCATATCTTGGAGATTTTATAAAATAGATAACTTAAATATCAATGGTACGTTTACTTAAAAAAAAAACATTAAATAAAATGGTTGCAAAACACATTTAGTGTAAAATTTATTATCAAAATTTCGAAAAATATAGGAAAAATTACCTCTAGAAAGGTAGGGTGATAAGTAAATCAGAACTGCAGGTTGCCGTTGAAAGGGTAAAGAAAAAAAAGCGGAAATGTGGGTGGGCCAAAGCAAAATGCAAAGCGGACTGGAATCGTTTGTGTATTGTGGAGTTTATATCACATTATCTGTGTTTATTCTAACCAAGTTGTGGGATTGGCTGGGGACCCAGTGGACTAGGGACTAGAGTCGGGACCCAGCTGCGAGTGTGAACCACGCCCAGGGACAACAAGTGGGTTCTGTTTCTGTCTGTCTCTGCACTATATGTATCTGTATCCCAGAGATGGTCTGAGGTGGGTGTGGGTGGGAGGGTTCCGGGAGTTACGAGCTCCGTTTGTTTGGCATGACTGTGCAAACACAATAAGTTATCGAGCTGAACGTGAGTCAGTCAACAGAGGCAGCTAGTTGCTGCGTCAATTGCGGTCACTCCACTCTATGGTAGAGAACCCCCTCCCTATATCTACAGTTATCCCCACACAGTACTCACCTTTGTACGTCGTAATTGCCGTTTTCCCTTGTACCAGGTGATGATGGCATTCGGCCGAGAGCCAGAGGATTCACAGGTCACCTCGTAGCGACGATCGGCTATCATCGAGTTGGGCGGCTCCAGGATTTTCACCACCAGGGGCTTCACTGTAATTGGACAGGCGGAGAACATTCAATTCAATGCAATTGTAATTAAAACTGTTTACCATAATATTTCATGGTCTCATAATTGCAGTTCGTTTTGTACGGCAATCATTTTGGACCCCCCATTTACTCCCTACGTGTTTGTATGTTTGTTAGCCAGTATCAACAACAATTTGTGTCTATTACGACTCGACAGCTCTCAAGTGCTGCACTTCCTGGCAGGATTATGACTTTGTCCGGCCTTCCGATGCCGTGTCTGCCGCTCGTTGATACTGGGCTTCTTGAGCTCCGCTCCTGGCGCATTGTGTTCTAGTTGGATGGTGGATAAATGGACGGTGGATGGAGTGTAAACGAGGCCACGGACGTCTGGGAAGACGGAAACACGAGGGCCTGACATTCGTGAGCTGAACGCCCCCCATCGACAATGTTGCTCTCTCCAGTTAGCATATAATTATTTAATGGCCCTTATAATGCTGCATTTAACCGTATGGCAAGTGTGCGTCGGCCGGAAAGTTTTGCCAAAGGTTTTCCCCTTTGAACTTAGAACCTTTTTCTCACGAAAAACTTATAACTATTTTATAAATTTTAATATGTTCCACATATCTTAACTGGTAATTTTTTAAAATTTTAATTGACTTTTTTGAAGAATTATGTGAATATTTTAATATTTATAAATCGGTACTTCTCCTTAAAATTTAATTTAAAAAAGTTAAGCTAAATAAAAATACTTTAATATCTCAAAGGAAGAGCTTGAAAGAAATACAAATTCTTTAAAAGGGCACTGTAATTATTCTGCACCCTCTTTCTTTTGACACTAAAGTATCTTGTTGGTTTGTGGTTTTCAATTTAAGGCAATGGAACACCACCCACTCGACGCTACTTACGGTGCATATCCAGTATGAAGCTCTTCTCCTTGGGTTTATCTAATTGCGTATTCAGTGCCTGACATGTGAATACGGAATTCAAATCGTTGCGCTGCACCGATGGCCACAACAGACGGTTCTCGATAACATCGCCGGAATTGTGCTCGTTTTGATTGTCGACAAGCAGTCCATTTACGAGCCAACGGACCTGCGGTTGCGGCCGACCTACAGGGATACCGAAACCCAAAAAAAGGGGCAAAAGTTAGTAAAATGCTAGTAAAAACGAAAAATGGTGCAAATTAAAAAGTCAAGCTTGAAAAAATACCACAACCCAAGCCGAAGCCAAAGCCAAAAGTAGTGAAACCCAAAGCAGACTTTGTGATATTTTCATTTGCAGCACTTTTCCTTCTGCGATGTGTTTTTCTTTTGGCTCTTTTTTTTCTTTTTTGCCGGTCAAAGCTTTTAAGGAAATTAACAGGAAATTGTCTAGCCGAGCATACGGATATGGCCATGGGTGTGTGTGTGTACTATATATATTGGGGTTAAGTTCGTCCTTTGTAGTCAGTCAGCTCAACTTACCGCCCACCACACGACAAGTGATAACGATATCATCGCCCTCCTGTTTCGGCCCCAATTGAGTGCCATTCAGCTGACGACCCCATCGGTCCAGGATGATTGGCTGCTCCGGAAGTACTAAAGACAAACACAGGATGTAGGCAAAAACACATGGATAGATTCGTTATTCGTTTTTCAATGCAGCACACACTCTCATGAATCAAATTCACAGTGTTTCACAGGAGGGACAGTACTCACTTATTACTGACAAATTGAAACGGAAACTTTGCGTTTGACTGGTGCGAAAATCCACACGACATCGGTAAATACCCTGATCATGTCGCTTGATATCCTGCAAAAATAGTTGGTAGTAGGTAGGTTATTATTTGTGGTTTTTGTGTGATGCAAGTGGGTAAGGTAAACGGGAAATTAGCATGCACACACATTCGAGCAGAATACCTGGGCTTTTCCAGCCATATAATTTTCAATTATTGCATGACACTTGAGCTTTTGCGGTTTTCACACGAGTGGATTTCAAAAATGTCGTCTGCCATTTTTCCCCAAGAGTCCTTGAGGATTTGTGCAAAATCGGTTTAGTTTTTGGTACATTTTTCTCTTGGGCGTTTGGCTCTTTCCATTCAAATTTAATCACTTATTTAATAATTCAATTGAGACAGGATTTCTTATGACATATTCTGGTTGAACATTTCTCAAAAGCTTCAAATCAAATAAATCTTTTGGTGTTAATTCGCTTGTCTAAGAAAAAAAAAGTGAGCAGAGCTGATATAGTTGTATTTTTATTTTTTATAGAGGTAGAAAAAATTAAAAAAACAATCTAAAAGAAAATACAATTTTGTAATTATAAAGTATATATTTTTGTTTAATTAATTAGGCACTTATAATCTTCAATGCAGTGGAAAATAAAATAACGATATTCGTAAAGGGTCTTTGACCTGCTTTTTTCAATTTCAATCAGACTCTTTGAAAACCCAGCGCTTTGAAGTGATATTGGTGATATAGGGCGTATCCTTTTGCGACAACCACTCATAGATACTCGACTCCTGCAATCGTCTGCCACTCATAAATTGCTTCAAGTTAATTGGCTTGCAATTGAAACGCAATTAAAATTAATTTATAAGGCCCCACCCATGCGCAAACGCAGACTAATTTTAGCACATAATTCATAAGTAACAATTTTTGCAAGACTCCAACACCATTTTCACCTGGCGGATTTACGGTGGCCGCCTCTTCGTGTGCATTTCACATTCATTTCAAAATGCAGCTCGTTAACGAGAAAACCCCCCCGCCAAGCTGCCTGTTTATTGCTTAACTCACTTAAGACCTTAACTAAGTTGGCCTTTAAAAAGTCAAATGCCAGGGCAGGGACAAAAGGCTACACTGATAAAAAAAAATAGTATAGTAAAAATAATTTATATGCCAAAAATACTATTATTTAGAAAATTAAATATAAAACATTTGAGTTGATATTACAAATATTTTAGTCAAAAATGTTTAGAATATTAAAATCAAAGCTGAAAGTCATTAAATTAAATATAATTGTAAAAGTGAATATATCCATATTTCATATTAATAAGAACATAATTTAATCGAGAATTTCATATTAAGATCTTCGCTATAAATCCCTAAACTTAATATAAAAGTTCAACATAAATAATTTTTTCCAGTGCAGGACAAGGAAATCCAAGGCGAAGAATTGAAGTAGCAAACACATTGCATAAGTACAAAGTACGGAATACGGAGTACGTTCGTATGTATCTATGTATTGCATGACAGAAACGCTAAATCAAGTTATCTGTAAACATGCAAGACATTAATAAACATTTCGCGTGCGCCAGGCAATTTAACAACTTTTGATATCTAAATTTGTTTTCCACATTCCACATTCTGTTTCCTCGGCTCTTCTTAGCCATGTTTTCGCCATTGCTGCTTCCGCTAGTTGGTTTTCCCTCCTTTTTTGACGTTTTTCTGGTACGCATTTCAGATTTGTATTTTCATTAAATGTATAACACTCACCGCATCATTGGATTTGTATCGCAAATTGCATTTGTCGGGCCAAAGCAAAAAAAATTGTTTAAAATCTAAATATAAAAGTTTCACTTCCGATTTGTATTTGCATTATTTCAGGAATACTTTGTGCTATTTTTATTTACCAGTTTTTTGCCCACATTTCGACATTTATTTATTTAAAATGTGCATTCATGCTAAACATTTTTTCTATAGACAAATAAGTCTGCCCAGTGGCCCAAAAAGTCTGCAAAGAATGCCGCCTTTCAGGTGCATTTCGATTGAATGCATTATTTAATTCCAGGTAATTTGAAATGTTAAATCCCCGCATTTATTTCATTATCAAGCGCAGGCAGAGAGGCAAATTAATGGGTACCCCAAGGGGTTTGGGACTCACCTTAATTTCCAAGGTTGCTGGCTGCGAGTCAAAATGGAATTTGGCACGTGAGCCAAAAACCTCCGGGGCGGACCAATGTCGGGGCTGTTCGCGGCTCTCCTTATCGCGCACATCGAAGCTGGGGATAGAGAACAGGGAAAACACACGGAAAAACATTAAATAACATGAAGCCTTGAAAAATACCCGCCCATTCGCCATTAATATTTAATGTGGGCGGGCATTCTCGCGAATTAAATCAAGCCCCAAAAATTTCGTCCAGCTCGGGAAATTAATGAAATCCATAGCCAATATAATTCAACCTCCTCTTCTTTTTTGCCCGAAAATTAGCGTAATTTATTTTGGTTCGCTCATTAGGCTGGGTGGAAGTTTTGTGTGTGTGTGAAGCCTGGCAAAATGCAATTTATGCGCTGCAGATAAAAATGATATTTGTTTTGCTTTTTAGGCATTCGCATCTCTCAAATTGTTCTGCACATTTAAGCCAGCACTACTGCATTTAATGGGCTAAGTTTATGCTTCCTCAGAGTTTCGAACTTTCTCGGTATTTAAAAGACAATATACTTGGCTAGTGAAAGATAAAAATAAAGAAATGCAAATAACAAGAGTGCTTATTTAAGGCAAATTTTAGATTGGCTGTATTTCTTAATTAAAGCATTTTTCAAACTTTTCGCAGCAAATAAATAAACAGATAAATATGTGCCATTTTCCCCCCAAGGCGGAAAATCACACTCATTTTCAGCCATATTAATTGTGATTTTATTCATTTAAAGCGAAATTACTTTAAATACCTGAAATATTTGCACCTTTTACATTGGTTAACGCTGAATTTAATTTCATTAAAGAGAAAGCGACGTCAATTAACATTTTTCACTTTGGGCGTGGGTGGAAAAAATTTGAAATCCAGACTGAGGTCTCTCAATCAGAAGAGGTCCTTTTCAGCCACTCCTGCTGTGGCTGTTGCTGTCTCTCTCTTTCACTTTCCACCAAATTGTTGCAGCCACTTTCGAATGTTTCTGCGGGTTAAGCGCCCTTTTGTATGCAACACACAATAATTTATGCGGCAAACCGTCGAACTTGCACTCGTTGCGAATGCAACAACTTAATTGCAGCAGCCGAGGAAGAGGTATTTTGGCCTCCACTCCGACCCAAATTTTATTCCCTGCCTCTCTTTTTTTTCATCCTTTGCGTCGCTGTTTTAATTAAAAACTAAAAAACAGTTGCACTTCGCCTAAATGGCAGCAGCAGCAGCGAGTGCCCAACTTAATAATGGTTCTCCACTCTCCTTTAGAGGAGCAGCCTATGCAGTTGCAGCAAATGTTTATGGCTAAATAATACGCAGCGAGCAGTAGCGCGACTGCATGCAAATTGAGTGTAATAAAAATGCACCGACGAAGGCTGGGTTAATCAGGAAGAGGGTCGAAGGACCAAGGACGAGGAAGGACGGGAGAGAAAGTAAAGTGCACTGACTGATTGAATTTGGAAATACCCTGAAGGCAAATCGAGTTGGCCCAACGGAAAGCGGCAAAGCTAGCAAATTTCATTTTGATGTGTTAAAGGTTAAAGAGGCTTAACGGAATTTAAAAGTTCACGGGGCTACTGGATTTTAGATTTTTTTAATATGATGATTTATATTTACCCTTACTGATTTTTTTAAAATTCTTTTGGTAGAAAATCTTAATTATAATATAAATAATATAAGTTTTAAAGATATTAATGGCTTTTTTGGAAGCTTCTTCTTCTTTATAGATTTACTTCTTATAAACCTTCTTAAATTAACTGAATTTTCTAAAATTGTTTTGGTAACAAAAAAAATATAAGTTTTAAAAATTGTATTTTTTTTAATTATTTTTTTTTAATTTACGCTCTTATAAGCTCAATCTTTGCAAAACACCCCAAGATACTCTAGTCTAAGGCAAAAGCAATTATGTAGAGGAAAAAATCTTTGGTTGACAGCCAAAGGGCGCAACGTGGCGTGAAAATGCCGTGAATGCAATTAGAAGCTAACACAGTGCAGGTTTTCCAGCCGAGGGCCGTCAATTACGGTCATTTTATTAGGCGACCCGAGACTTCGGTTGACCCGTGTGATCTGACCTGCGTTTACTTGGCCATTTTGCCGTAATTTAATCTTTCGGAGTCTTGAATATTTTCGCCCCTGCACATAATTCCTGTGGTTTGTCATGGCCCGAGGTTAATCACTCTAAATTAGGTAAACATAATTAAGTTAATACCCGGGCGCAGACAGAGGGAAAACAAAAGTCAAACAGAAAAAAAAGAAAAAGGAAGGAGAGAACAAAAAAAGCGGAAACAAAAACAGGTGGGGACGCTAAGCTAAATCACACATCCTGCCAACGCACACAAAAACGAAAAAAAGGAAGGAGAGTGGGAAATCATAGCATACTTATGTGAGTTTAGCGCCCCAAACAATTTAAAAACAAGAGAGAACGCTATAGTCGGGTATCTCGACTATCTGATACCCTCAGCTAAAAGAAGTGCGAAGGAAACGGAGATATACCTGCATCAAAGCTACTGGCTCCATCTAGCGGCTGTTTCATATTTGCTCATAACTTTTTAATGAATAGTCCGATTTGAAACATTTCTTCTACATTTTGATAGGTATAAATAAACACAACAACATTGCATTTATACCTTTTCGAAACCTTTAAAGATGTGGGCGCCAGACACCTTTTCAAATTGTTAAATCCTTCTACCTGTTACATACTTCTCCCCCGAATACAATATACCCTTTCACTCCACGAGTAACGGCTATGAAAAGGTAGCAACTCTCGAGACTCTCGTTTGCATTTAATTATATGTGTGCCCAAGCCGAGACAATGGACCAATTGAGACCTCTCGGGACTCTCTCTCTCACCTATAGAGCGGTATGCCGGCGTTATCGCGGAACCAGAGCACCATATACACATTATCCAGTGGCTCGGTGATGGGGCAGGGCAGTGACACTGATTTCCCCTCGACGGCATCAATGTCCTTCGTTTTCACTGTGGTTTTTCGGTTCCACGTTCCAGGCAAATTATGTTGTCACGGGTTTTTTTTTTGCGTTTGCGGTTGGTCAGCATCATCATGAAAATAGAAAATAAATGCGTAAAATTTGTTAATTAAATGTTCCATTTCTCTCTTCACATGCGTGGCTGGCTGGTTGCCTGCCTGCCTGCGTTTCGAGTAAAGCTTTTAGCAATTAAATGTTGATGGCGGCTTAATTCCTACGTAATTACAAATGCGTAAATTTGAGCCGTCCTTTACTTTATGGCCAAACACCCGAAACCCCCCAAACATTCCGTTTTCACCCATTGGCTTAGCAAACTGCCTGCGGGCGGCCATGTTTATTTATTATGCATGTGCAAATGCGTGCACCAGCATTTTATTTTTTCCTCTTTGGGTTCGACAGGCTTTTAGGGCCTTTTATAGGATCAAAACTTGCAAAGCTTAACAAGGCAATGTTAAAGTTTATGGAGGGCGAAAAATAACATCAACGGAATTAAAGCAAATACAGCTGCTTATATAGACAAGCTGCCTTCCATTATAGTAATTAAATTGCATAATATGTATGTACTTCTTATGGATTATAACTTTGAATCTTTGTTTAGATGTTAAACAGTTATTTCATTTGATTTTGCTGAAATAAATTACTTACGTAGCTAAATATTTAAAATCATTTAAAATTTATACAATAAACCAAAATATTATTCTTTTGACATTTAAAATTTGAATAACTGCTCATAATGTATTTACACATTTTGAAATTAAGCATTAAACATTTTAATCACATAGACACTTAAAAATGTTTTTTATTTAAATCCATTTTCTCTAAAAATAACTACCTTTTTTTTACAAAACACAAAATTTTAAGAACTAGTTGACGTATCACTGCATTTATTTATCTTGCTAAGTCAGCAGAAATTTAATTGTTTCTCTCTTAAATTTTCCTATTTTATGGCTCTATGCGTCGTTTTTAGCTGCAACAACATTTTGGCATTGAATCAAGCCGCACAAAAGCAACAAAAACAACAATAGCTGTCACATGTGCTGCGGCTTTCTTGTTGTTGTTGCTCTGCCTTCCCGCGTCAACTCATATCAAATGTGTATAGATAAAAAGTATATATAAATATAAATAAAAATGTCTGCGCTGAAAATATTTCGCATCATATCAAAAGCAAAAGAGGCCATAAAAAATCGTTGTAACATCCTTCAAAACGCCTCCCTACCACCCTACCCACCTCCTAAGCCTAACCCCCTTCCCGTTTCTCTTTGGTTTTTCCGTTGACTTTATGTGTAAATATGAAAAAATGTCATTTTATTGCCACAATGCGTCGAAATTTTGTGAAAATTTATTGCGCATACGCAACGTTGTACAATAAATATGCGCTTAAATGCCCCCCAAATGTATGGCTATGTGTATGGGTGTGGGTGTGTGTGAGTATGTTTTATGCCCTGCCTGTTTGCTTAGCACTGCCGCCTTTTGTGGACAAAGGCTGGCTCACAGCATCGCAACCAGCAGCGATTCAGACGAAAAAGAAATACTTGAAAATCGTGGAAAAACATGCCAACGCCTCTGGCAAATTGCTAGAGTTTCTTTGCCATATTTCTGACAGATTTTTGTGCTTGAAACCTTGGCTAATGCCAAATTTTAATATTTAAAAACGGGCTGAAAATTGCATTGACCATTCATGAACTCTCCAAAGGAAATTTTCGATTGTATTCTTTTAAGAAGAGGAGGTCAGAAGAAAGTTTCATTTATTTATGATTTAAATACATTTATCACAACATAGGGTTAAATGAAACAATTAAAAATTCTAAAATCAGTTATATAAAGCCTCAAAAATTTTAAAAATGTATAGGATTGTTTTAAATTTTTTTCTTAAACGCATTTCCTTAAAAATTACACCTTTAAAAATAAACCAATAAGTTCCAAAAAAGTATAGAAAGGAAGATTAGAAGCATGTTCTATAAATTTTTGATTACAGCACATCGCCACAACAACTTTTCATTGCCAATTTGAAAATAAGTAGTAATCAGTAGTTTCATGCATTACCTATTACACTCAACAATTGGCTTCCCATAACATTTTGGATCCATTAGTTTGACTTTTCCAACTCCTTGGACTGCCATGCGTTTTCTAGGTGATGGATATGCTGCATCAAAGGCTGCATTGCTAAACGCCTGGAAACTGAAAACGGAAAACTGGAGACTGGAAACCGCTCAACCCTTCCCTGGCAATTTTCAAAATTGTCTACTCTGCTCGACTGTCTGTCGCCTTTTTTGGCTGCATTTTTGTGTCGCCTTTGGTTTTTGGCCTTCACTTAACTACGGCAGCCAGCTCGACAGCTCGTGCATGTTAAAAGCTATTTAAATATGCTCTCTTTGAATGCCTTGATTGGCTTACTTGGGCTCGGGCTCTCTCGCATTTCGCATCTCGGGATGCCATTCCCCTGACCTCCAACCCCTACGACCCCTGCCACCACCCCCTTTTGGCCTCTTTTGGCTTGACTGGCGTTTGGTTTGCGTTTGCTTTTGCCTTTGGCCCGCCTTGACTTGGCTGCTCACAAAAATGGAAAGAAAAGCCAAATGAAATAACAACGAGCATAGATGGAAAAGTGAAGTGAAGTGCTGGAGCTGCATAACCTTTTTGCATGAATTAACCCCATAACGACCAATGAGCATTGACGGCTAAAGTGATTTTGCTTATCGAGATCAAAGAAAGCGATTATCAAAGGGGTTTGGGCAAAAGAAAAAAAAAGAAAGCCAACGAAAACGTTAAAGCGAAAAACGTAAAAGCATGGTTTTCAAGAGAAAACTTTTAAAACATTTTTATGATATTTTTTCAAACTTTTTTTCCATTTTTTCTACGGTTTATTATAATAATATTAATAATTTATTTATAAGATAAGTAAGTTATAAAAAAGTTAAAAATATTTAATCACATTTACATCAAGACAACCTTAAAGATTTTTTCTAAAATTCCTATTAAAACTTCAGGCTTCAATGGAAATACCAAAATTAATGCCAAATGGCCATTTATCTGAAAGCTGACAAATTGCAGTATTTGATTGCATTTGGTAACCTCATCTTTTTCCAGCAAAATCCGGCTAGTCTAGGGTTAAACTAACCTCAATCAGTATCAGCCACCGCACATATACATACATACAGTCACTAGACGCAACAGCCACCGCAATGCCACGCCCCATCACATACCAGACCGTACCGCCCCCGCCACCCGGCCACGCCCCCTGGTAACACCCGCACTCAGAAGCTTTCTGGTGATGCAATTTCAAATGCAAAACTTTAATGGAATTTTGTGTTGGCTGTGTGTGCTATGTGTGTTGCATGTGTGACAATAGTTTTGCACAACTTGACGCTCTCGCAACTTTTATGTCAAATGCATTTTGCACATATTTTGTTGCATATTTCCGAGTGCAGGGGTGGAGTTGTGTGGGAATAGAAGTCCTCTGGCACGAGGATTAACTTCATGTCAGCCTGTCTAATTGATATTTAACAAGGAGTCTCTCGACGCCCAGTTATTTCTAGTCGCAGACTTAATTGTCGAAGGACCTCGAGCCCTGCAATTACCTTTAATGCTAAACTTAACCATGACGCAACTACCGAACCTACTTTCTACTTTCCCTGCAACTCAAACTCCAAAATGTGGGTTATTTCCTTTTTTACTGTACTGTTTTTACCATATTTGGTGACATTAACACGTCACCAGACTGAAGCTCTGCGGGATGGCAGGTAATTGTTTACTCTGCTGGCGCTTTTCGATTAATCGTCGGCCTCATTAGCGGTGAAAATTTTTATGATGACCCATGGGGCTTAAGGACAATTGCAGTGCGAGTGGGGGAGTGAAGCATGAAATTTGTATACCAACGCAATATTCGTAAGTCCAGCTGTTCAGCTTTAAAAATGTAGGTACTATACAAAATTTAAACTATAAATGTATTTTAAATAAAATTTATAAATTATTTAGACTCAACAACATAATTTTTAAGTTGTATAAAGAATTTATACTAGTAAGATTATAATCTAATTAGCTGCCATGTACCTCAAAAAATATAAAAAATTTATTTACATAACTATAAATGGTCATATTAGTATTTTAAATAACATTTATAAATATTTCAAACTCAAAATTTGAATATTTTTTATTAAAACAAAATTTTAAAATATAATCTTAAATTACTAGTAATTCTATCATCTATTTAAAGGAATACTCTTATTAAAGTCCATTTCTTCATTTAATTTCTTCTTACTAGTATTTTCCATAGCCCTAATGAGCATTTTCAGACCACCTCTATCTGTATGTATGTCGGTTGACTTTTTGAGCCGGTTTTCTGTCTGTTTTCCGTGGTCGGCATTAAAAAAATTACGAGTTTTATGGTGGAGCATTAAGTACGCTGCTGGAAATTAACGTATATCGTGTGGGTCCTGTGGTCACACAGTCAGTTGAAATCCTACCCTTTTCCGAGCCATTCTGACTTTTTCCACTGTGCTGGATTATCTGAAGGGATGGCTGATATTCACTCTGTCCAGGACATTATTGTCGCTGGTGACCCACTATCAAACGGTGTTTTTGGAAAACTAAAATACGAGGCAATAAAAAAGATGAACAACAGACAGCCAGACAGGCAGCAAGATGAAAATGAAAAGGTCGTGCTTTTATTATATTTCAAATTTAATCAAATTGAAATTTAGCCAGGACAAAGGATAACGACAAATTGGCAGACAGCCAACATGAAATAGAATTTAAATAAAATTGGCAAGGAAAAGAGGGACAAAAAATCAAACATCGCTGACCGGCAGCTAAAAATATTCAAATCTAATGATATTTTGGCATAGAATTCAATTAAATTTACCAAAAACCTGTCATTGAATTTGGTTTGGCCAATGCAAATCAAAGTTACTCCAGTCTAGAATTTTTTGTGTACTAACCTATGAATCACAATTAAATAATATTTTCGGGCTGAGATTTATATTAGAAAGAAAT